TTGAATAAAAATATAGGGACATATATAGGGACTACAGGAGTACTTAAAGATGAAATCATTCTACAAAAATCAAAGATTTTAAATCAGTAATATAAATTACAAGAAAGGGAAAGCAAGAGCCAGAGAGAGCTCAGTGGATTGTGAGCAGGCTTGTAAATTCAATCCCTGGACTGCACAGGTGGCAAGAGAGAACTGACTCACAAAGGCTGTCCTTTGTTTCCCAAACATATGCCGTGGCACATGTGCGCACACGCACACACACACATACACACACAGACACACACACCCAAAAAAATTTTAAGAAGAAAACATGAAGCAAACTAAACCCAATACAAACAGAAGCAAGGAACTAATAAAGAGGAAACATTAAATTAAGAATTTAAAAATACTGTCTAGCAGTGGTATCACACACCTTTAATCCCAGCACCTGGGAGGCAGAAGCAGGCAGATCTCTGAGGCCAGCCTGATCTACAGGGTTTCAGGACAGCAGGGCTACATAGAAAAACTTTGTCTCAAAAAACCAAAAAAACAAAACCAAAACCAAAAACAAACAAACAAAAAAACTAAAAAAAACAAAAACAAAAACCAACCAAACAAACAAACAAACAAAAAAACCAAAAAATACAGAATTAAAAATAATAAAGAAAAAAACAGTGGAGAAGAAAAATCTGACTCTTTCAAAGGATCAACAAAACTGAAAAAGGTTTTTATTTAGAATAGTTGATAAAAGCTACAAATTACAAAAACAGGAACTGAAGTGATATCATTACATCATTATAAACCTAAAATTCCTGGTTAAAGAAACCATAAAACTAAATCAGCAAAATGAAGAGGCAGAGGAACTTCAGGTAGGAGTTAGAAAAGCATCCCGAAAATTCTTTTGTATCTCTGCCTTGCCAGTCAAATACCTAGTGTTTGCAAACTTAAAGCAGTCCATCCAACCAAAGATCTCTGCTGAAACTGAAATACCACCCAAGAAACAAACTTTACAGTTTACAACCAGTCACATGTGGTTGATATACTGTGCACCCCAATAAACTTACCTGGGGGTCAGAGAACAGAACAGTCACTATATTAAACATAGAGGTCAGACAGTGGTAGCACACACCTTGAATCCTAACATTCTGGAGGCAGAGATTCATCTGGATCTCTTTGAGTTCAAGGCCACACTAGGAACAGCCAGGCATGATGACACACGCCTTTAATCCCAGCACTTGAGATCTCATGTCTTGCTTGGGAAAGACACATGCCTTTAATCTCAGGAAGTGATGGCAGGAAGCAGAAAGGTATATAAGACCTAAAGACCAGGAACTAGGGGCTTTTAGGCTTTTTTAGCTTTTAGACTTTTAGCAGCAGTTCAGCTGAGACCCATTTGGATGAGGACTCAGAGGCTTCCAGTTTGAGGAAACAAGATAGGCTGAGAAGTTAATGAGATGAGGTTAGCTGTGGCTTGTTCTGTTTCTCTGACCTGTCAGAATTCACCCCAATACCTGGCTCCCCCCCAATACCTGGCTCCCTTGAGTTTTTTATTTAATAAGACTGTTTAGAAACTTGTGTTACAGTCACATTAACTGCCTATCAATACAAAAGTAAATTAAACATGGGAGAATGACAGAATTCAGAATCGTATGTTTCAAGTAGTATTTTGTATGCTGGGAGCAAACCAGTAAGCAAAACAAAATTCTTACCCTTACTGAGGTGACTATCAAATACTTACCTTCTGATATGCAAGCAACTATAACAAACATTAGCAAATGTTTTGAGAGGCACAGAAGGAATTATGAGAAACCTGTACTCTCAGTAACTAGGCAAAACCAAAGAAGCACAATATTCAACGTCAGGTCTGAGGGTAAAATAGGAAAACTCTTTTACCTCGGGAAAAATTCTGGAGATTACTTAAGATGACACAATCAAGAAACCTTTTAAAAGAAGCTCATTTATTTAGTCAAAGCAGAATGACTAGAGATGATATAGTGAGTTCAGCAGGACCCAAGCTGACTACAGGGACAAGCTAAATGAACTGGCATTGACCCTAAAAATAATGTGAAGCCTCTGAAATATTGTCAAACACAAAAATCATATATTTGAATTCTTTTCTTTAAAAAGTCCTAGTTACAGCTAAATAAACAATAGACTTTAGAGAAAAACAAGGTAAAGGACAGACCTATTAAGAAGCTGTTTAGAATGGCCGTATTATGGAAAGCGTCTTACAGACTCAATGCAATATCTACAAAAAAACTCAATAATCTTTTCTTTAATAATTTATTTAACTTTCTTTTATGTGCATTGGTGTGAACGTGTCAGATCCTCTGGAACTGGAGTTACAGATAGTTGTGAGCTGCCATGTGGGTGCTAGAATTGAACCTGGATCCTTCTCAATGAGCAGTCAATGCTCCCGACCACTGAGCCATCTCTCCAGGCCCCTCCTTAATAATCTTTTCAGAACTTGAAAAAAGAATCTTAAATTTCATATAGACACAAAGATCCCAAAACAGACAAAACAATTCTGAGTAGAAAGAGGAACCACCACATCTATCTCCAGTTCAAGGGGTCTAACTCCTCTTTTGAACTCTACAGACAAATGCACTCACACATGCACACACCTAAACAGACACTAACATATACACCTAATTTAAAATAAACAAATAAACCGGGCGGTGGTGGCGCACGCCTTTAATCCCAGCACTCGGGAGGCAGAGCCAGGCGGATCTCTGTGAGTTCGAGGCCAGCCTGGTCTCCAAAAGCGAGTTCCAGGAAAGGCGCAAAGCTACACAGAGAAACCCTGTCTCGAAAAAAAAACCAAAAAAAAAAAAAAATAAATAAAAAAAATAAACAAATAAAAATAATAGATTAAACAGAAAAAAACTGGACACCTGCACATAGAAGAGTAAAACTAGATCTGTAGCTGTCACCCACATAAAAATCAATTCACTATAGACCATGTGTGCATAAACATTTGCATACATGTACATATGCTCATGTGTATGGACAGATGAGTGTAAAATTCAGAGATTAACATCAGGGTTTTATTCAATCACTCCTTATGTTGTTTTTTTTTGAGACAGGATTTTCACTGAACCAATAGCTCACTAAATGGCTAGGTAGACTGGTCACTGAGCTACAGCGATCTACCTCTTTCTATCCTAAAAGCATTAGGGTTACAGGTGCACATCACTACATTTAATTCATTTCTTGTGTAGCCTGAAGTTTATCCACTATGCTATCTCCCCAGCCCTGAAAAATAGATCTTAAATAAAAATGTCCCTCAATGTATGATCTGAAACGTTGAAACTACTAGAAGAGATCACCTAAAGATTTAGGCACAGGCAATGACTTTCTGGATAGAACCATGCCAATGGCCCAGTAAAATAAATGTCATGAATTGAGGGATTGAATCATATTAAAAAGGAAAGAAAAGCACCACACAGGAAGTAACAGAGTAAAGACACCTACAGAGTGAAAGAAAAAAGTTACTGTCTGTCCACCTGATAGAAGACTAATACACAAAAGACATAAAGAACCCCCAAAATTAAGTACCCCAAGGACAATATACTTAGTAAGTGGGCAAATTGAGCAGACAATTCTCTAAACAAGTTCAAATGACCAATAAATATATTAAAAAGTTCAATATGTTTAGCCATCAGGACATGCAAATCAAAATTGCACTTGGTTCACACCCTTACCTTATGCAGAATAACTACCAAGAAAGCAAATAACAAATTCAGGCAAGGGTGACAGAGAAAAAGAATGTAGTTCATTACAGACATCATACAAGTTAGTATGGAGGTTACTGAAAAAACTAATACTACCACATAATTCAGTTATAGCATTCGTAGGTGTGTGCCCAAAGGGCTCTAAGTCAGCATGCCACAGAATACTTATAAAGCTATGGATATTACGGCATTATTCAGAAGTCAAGTCATAGAATTAGCTTAGGCGGTCACTCACCAGTTATGAGTAATAAAAATGGAGTATGGCCGGGCGGTGGTGGCGCACGCCTTTAATCCCAGCACTCGGGAGGCAGAGCCAGGCGGATCTCTGTGAGTTCGAGGCCAGTCTGGGCTACCAAGTGAGTTCCAGGAAAGGCGCAAAGCTACACAGAGAAACCCTGTCTCGAAAAACCAAAAAAAAAAAAAAAAAAAATGGAGTATGACTCAGCCATAAGAAGAACCAAATCACATCATTTGTGAGAAAATGGATGAGGCCAAAGAATTTTGTGTTAAAAAACAGAGAAACAAAGCCTCTTGAGAACCAAGACAATTACTATCTCCTACCTCACAGATGAAATTACATAGAGGAAGAGGAGCTGCAGAAGAGAAGAGAAAGCAGAGGAGAGACAGGAGGATCTCTGGAGTTCACTGGCCAGCCATTCTGTCTCAAAAGAAAAGGTCAAGAGACACTGAGGATGACATTCAGTGTTGATGTCTGGCCTGTAAATGCACACGCACACTGCCATATGAGCATATATATAGAACTCAGACCCCAACAAATACATATAAGAAAAAGAGAAGTGAAGGGCTAGAAGAACTTTTTATATTGTAGTTTCTAATTACAATAGCAATAGTCTATGTCTCTGCAAATGTTTTGCTTAACATATACATCAGTATTATTTAGCAACATGCTTTGCTCACCTAAGAAATAGGAAGTTTAAATTTAAGACAAGCTTTGAGGCCTACATAAGCTTTGAAAAATAGAGTTTTTACATTGTAACAATAAACTTACATTATTTTAAGAAAAATGTATTTTGTACTCAGAAAATGATTTGTTTTACACTTAGTGATAACCACATAATTTTTCCTTCCTTGTTTTAAAATGTAAGTATCCACAATAGTAGGGAAAGAAGGGGGAATAAATGAGAACTCACTGTGGGTTTTTTTTTTTTTCCACACAGAATACTCTTAAATAGGTACCCTAAAACTGATAGGGCACAGAGGCAGCTTCCAAAACACATAAACACTCAGAAAAGAAAACAGTAACAAAATATTTTATTTCAAGCTTACCTTGCTCCTAAGTTTTCGATGGTTATATATTCATCCTTTCTCACCACTTCAAACTGCAAGTGATGGAGAAAAAAAGCCCTAAAATAGTTCAATTTTCAAAATTCTTTAAGTTCTTAGCTTCCACATTTACAAAAAGATAATTAGAATAAAAGCACATTGACTACAAAACAAATGACACAATTAAAAGCTAACCAACATAAAATACTACCAAATGACAAATTACAGTTGCTCTTAAAAGCAGCCAATCTTACATCATCATATGATTTGAATGACAACATTAAAATATAAAAGAAGCTTATAATATAATAGCGTAAATAAGGTAAATAATAAAAATAAGATTCATTTATAGTTCTAATTTTATTCTATTTACCTTAAACTAAAATTCAAGATATTCTATTAATTAAAAATTAAAATGGGTACTATGATTTATTTAACAGGTAAAAGACGTATATTAAAGAGACATTAGGTAGTTATTACAGACTACATGGGATCAGGGTCTGGAGATACAGCTCAGTAGCAGGGTGCATGTTGAGCATGCACAAGGCCCTTTACTCAACTCCCAGTTCCACCAAAAGAGAAGACGATTCAGAAAGTCTAAATTTATTTTTAATTTAAGATGGCAAAAAAGTAGTTAAATTAACACACTTTATCATTCTTCTACAATATAATCCTCACCACTAGTTCACTGGTGGTATATTCATCTGTTTCTACGATTTAGATTTTCTTATAGACCACTTAATACATCAGATAAAACAAGAACAGAAAGGGCAGGGAGCTCAGTCACCAAAACTAGAATGTAGCTAGAATCCTACTATTGTTGTTAATAAATCAATTTTATGCAAAAATAGTACTACAAACAAGGTGGGCAAGAAAAAAATCAGGAAAAAACATCACTCACCAAAATTTTGACAATTCCAGGTACATCACATTGCAGCATTCTTACCATGTCACCTCCACATCCTTCTTTCAAACATTTTTTCCCACTAAAACTCTAAAATTGTTCATAGAAAAAGATAAAATATAAACTTAAGCAAGGTTAGAAGCAGATAATGCTGCATGACAAACTGAAAAATGTGACCAAACAGTTTAGAGTGAACTGTTCAAAGTATTTTATATCAATGCGTATGTATGTTGTAACATTTTACTTTAGTTATTTAGACTTCAAATCTTTAAGGAGCTATATAACAGCCTAAAGTATACATGATAATCGTGGAAAGAAACTTTAACATATACTCAGCACAAAAAGTATGCAATTTCCATAAGCTACTTAAGGACTCTAGAGAAAAGGGAGTAATAAAAACTGTGAGTACTCTGGCTCTGACCTTGTAATTTCCTCTGGTTAACTTACTTCAATTTCCTGTACTTCTCTGTCTAATAAGGAGAAAAATTAACTGCCCCATCAACCACAGAAACTAAAATGTATGTATCCCTTTAATGCCTTGTATGTCTTATTTTTATAGCATGACATGCCAGTTCTTTTACTTGGTCATCCCAACACACACACACACACACACACACACACACACACACACACACACACCATGAAATGTGTACACTTCAAGGTCATTTTAGAGCTTAGAAATATTAGTCACAGTGGTGAAGTTACCAGTCTAATGTAGTAAAACTAGTAAGTAGTTCAAGGTAGATTTAATCCCAAATCTGCCACCTCCAGTTCTCTTTTCTACTGTGTAACAATTGCTTAAGGATTTTTCCTTGTTTACATACTGTAAAACTGGTAGAACTTAAAGTCACAAAGCAACCATGACCACAGCACAAGTAATTAATAAAGAGAAGGGCTCTGGATTTCACTTTAATGTTAGTAGTGAACAACTCAATTTATCATATGACTGGCATGACTAAACAGAAGGAACTCTGTATCTATCTGTACACTAAATCTTCTTCTATTTCATTTTTAAAACAGAATGGACACATAAGTTAAGAGAGTCAAGGAAATGAACACCATAGAGAACAGAGAGTAAATGGAGGGGAGAGAGTGAACGTGACAGACAACTAAGAACAAGGGGAAAGGGATGATGTGCGGTGGTGTGGAACTTTAAGGAGAGTGCAATACCTGATCATTTTCTCCTGGGTACTTCAAGTTCTTGAACTTTTTCCAACAAATTTTATGGAAGTAAATACAGCAACTTTTACTGCACATTAGCTGAAAAAATCCCTTGAAAAAAATATATAGAAATATAATTCATGTTAACATAGAAATACCATCAAGTCAGTTTTAAGACTATAATTTATAGATTATACTTTATTATAATATTGTTTTACACAACATTTACAATTTACTAGCAAAGCCTGTAGATACCAAATGAATTTCTGATATTGTAGAATTAATAAAGTCAGAAAAATAAGGACAGTAAAAAAAGGGAGAAGGGCAATGATTTGAACTAGGCAATGTAAACTTTTCCATATTCTATGGTACAAGAAAATAGCAAAATCCCTCAAATGTTTTTTGTAGAACATGCTATTTATGCACCCCATTTTTACATTCCTCTTTTTCTCCAGCTCAACTCATTTCTGTGCCACTGTTATTTGAATTCCCCTGTTACCACCCAGGAGACCTCAGACCTGCTGTCCTGGTGAAAGAATTCCAAATCTACTATGCTCTCCAAGAATAGAGATTTCTGCTACACTCTCTCCAGGAATGAGGTCCTTTAAATAAAATTTCTCTTTATATTACAACAATCTAAACTGTAATCAGAACTTCTGTTGCTATATAACATTCATTTGGTTGGAACCCTGAAGCTATCCTAAACCACAGGACTGACTAGCCACAGCCCCAAGACTTGAATACTGCATCTCTCCACCCATTCTACTTGTGCAGAGAAGCCCGCAGCAGAGACGCTAGCCACTTTATCTCAGAAGCAGGATCTGACCTGAACTCAGAGTGACAATTCTCACCCTGTCTTGTGGTTTCATTGCCACACGGATTCAGAGATTACAAGATCAAGGCTGCTCACAAGAACTTTTACTCTTTCCTCACCCAAGGACTCACAAAGAGCGATCATTTATTTAGTAACATGAGCCCTGAAAATTGACCACCTCTTAGCTATGCCACTATTCTCAATTTCTACCCTTTTTTATTATAAGGTGGAAAAAACTTATCTTTTTTATAATCTTATTTTTTGAGAACTTCATACATAAGCACTGCATCTAACATCACTCTTGGCCCCCTTTCCCCTCCCAAATTCATCTTTTCCTTATTATTGTATGTACATGTACACATTTCAAGGGTGTATTTTCCCTGTCAAGTGTAGAGGACATTGTATAGCACCAAGAGTTCTGGGCTTCTTATAATCTTTCCATCTCATTTTTTTTGTGATTTTACTTGAGTCTTAAGTGTTAGGTTATGCGGCAGACATATTAGCTGGGGCTGGGCACCCCATAGTCGTGTGTGTGTGTGTGTGTGTGTGTGTGTGTGTGTGTCTTTGTGTGTGCGTGTATTTTAAAATGCTGTTATGTAACATAGGGTGATGGTGCTCTCCACAAAAACCATGCCTACCTAACAAAAACCACAGAGCCCGGCAGAAGAAAGAAATCTCCCTCCTAGTTGCTGGTCAGAGGAATACAAGAGTCTCCTAAAACAACATACGCTACTGATATTTCCTTTAGTTGCTGTCCAGAGCTTTAAGGTAAAATCCTACTTCTGCAGACACCACAAACTTCAGAAATAGAACTTGGAGCAACTGAGTTAGAACTGACTTGGAAGCCTCCTCCCTGAAGGCTGATGTTCATAGTTACCAGAATGTACTATAAAAGTTGCCGAGGAAGAAGAGCAAACTGTAGTGTTACTCAGCTATAAACCCTAAGAACCACAATGACTAGACCATAGAGATATCCACAATGATGCAATACTGGCACTATTATTGTGGGGGTAACCAAAACCTGTCTATTGGATTTAAGGTCCACTCAACAGGAGGGAACTCATGCTTGGTACTAGAACCTGGCTGGAGAGGTAACAAGGCCAAAAGGAAAACCAACCATTAAAATTTTCTAACTGTATAACCAACATATAACCAATATAATATCTAACTGTAGTCTAAATATTTATCCTTAGTCCCACAGATAAGTGTAGCTCTTACCACTCATCAAAGAAGCTTCTTTTTGCAACAGAGATTATTTCAGAAATCCACAACTGGTCAAAATATAGAGAATAGATTATTTTACTGTATGAATGAAAGGCAAATGGCCATAACTTCAGAGGCAAGTGAATATTACAAAAACTTCAGCAAAACCAACCTATTCTTCTACTGACTCATAGAATATAATTAATATTGACTGTGAATACATGTTCTCAGAGACAAACTACTTCTTAAATATATTACCATTATAATTAAAGTAAACACTGTTCTTTAATTTTTTTTTTTCCCCCAGGGCTGGGACAAAATTCCAGGAACCTGCACTTACCTCATTAGAGCTCTGCCACAGAGCCGCATCCTACGGCCTATGTAGTATTTTCATGTATAATGATAAAATAATTTTAACTGTTTTATATATTACAATGAAACGGTTAATTGATAATTATGTTACCTTATAGTTGGTGTTCTTTAAAATGTCAGCTTCACAAGAGCGCTCACAATCAAGATAACTGCAAATGGTCTGTTTCATTATATTACTTTCAGTTCTTTTGATAAAATTATTGAGAATATCCTAGAATTTAAAAATACATATACTTATGAATTATCTACCATAAATTAAGCCAGAAACATATCCATAATCTACCTTAAGTAACATAACTACAGATCCCATTTTAAATTATTGTGTGTGTATGCATACATATACATACATATATATATACATGTTTGTATGTATAACAGTAACAACTTATTTACCCATCCCAATGTAAATAAATAGAAAAACCCTAAACTAGAAAAAATGGCTATCTCACATAAAGAAAGTAGACAAGAGTATGTTTGAAGCTAAATTTCTCTTCCATACGCTAATCCATAGCATGTTCTTATCAAGAACTGTATACATACATATCTCAGAACTGGAGCCAAGCAAGATATAATGACAACAGAACCACTACAATGGTGCAATATGACAGCTAATGACACAGTGGGCAGAAGGATGATACAGAAATATTTCTCCAATGCCAAGTTATAGCACAGAATAAATTTTCTCATTTTAAACTAATTAAATGCAAGCAAATTAATTATCTTCACTGAGTTAGACAAGGGCCTTAATATCCTTTACAGAGAAAATGCTGTATCAAATAGTACTTATTAGTGGTAATATACTATGAGAATATATTATATGAAAAGTAACCCTTTACAGGTTATTTAATGAGCAGCAGCAATATATATAAAGATAAATTTTATAAAAATATGACAGAAGATATACCAAAAATAACAACAACAACAACAAAATCCCCAAAATTAACAACAAACAAAAACACTCATAAAAGCAGTAATGTTAGTGAATTAGTCCAATGGGCAAAGAATAGGAATAAGCATCCAAGCAATACAAAAACTGAGAATTTATCCTGAACAACTCTTAGACAGAAAATGGAAAAAGTAAAATAGGTTACATGTAAAAAGTTAAAAATCAGACTCAAATCATTCTTTAAAATAAGATTAAAGGATAGAAAATAAGAGTGAAAACAATTTAATGTGTTAAGCTGTTTGGCCTGTGTGTATGTCTGTACACCATGTGTGTGCATTGTCCATGGAGGCCAGAAATGCGCACTGCATCCCGAGACTGGAGTTACAGATGATTGTAAACCATTGTTGGGTCTGGGAATTAAATCTTGCTCTTCTGGAAGAGCCAGTGTTCTTAACCACTGAGCCATCTCTCCAAGCACCAGTAGAAATTTTTAATGACTGAAAATTAATTTGAACATACAATTATATTTCTAGACAAGGAATATATAATGTTTACAAAAACTTTTTTTTTTGTTCTTTTGTTTTTCGAGACAGGGTTTCTCTGTGTAGTTTTGGTGCCTGTCCTAGATCTTGCTCTGTAGACCAGGCTGGCTTTGAACTCACAGAGATCTGCCTGCCTCTGCCTCCCTAGTGCTGGGATTAAAGGCATGCGCCACCACTGCCTGGCAAAAACGTATTATTTTGAGAATTAAAAGATCTCAAAAAATTTACCTCCCTATCAAGCACTTAAGCTGGTGTTGGACTTACACCAAGCAAACAAGGAAGAGCCTAGAGTGGGTAAAACCTCAGTTCTGAGACACATAATTTTATACAGAGAGGAGAAAGATAAAAGTCATCCCCAGGGTGAGGCCAATTGATTAAGAACCAGTAAGATGGGAGAAGTGTGTGCATGTGTGTACATGACAGCACGTGTCTATTTAAAGGAGATGCTATCTACATAAGAGAGCTCTCTAGTACCACATCTGTTATACTGGAATGGCAAGACAATACCTAAAAAAATATGAATACAGCAGGGCAGTGGTGGCACACACGGAAGGCAGAGGCAGGAGGATCTCTGTGAGTTTGAGGACAGCCTGGGTTACCAAGTGAGTTCCAGGAAAGGTGCCAAAGCTACACAGAGAAACCCTGTCCCAAAAAACAAAACAAAACAAATTTAAATACTAATACGGTTTTTGAGTAAGGGGGAAAAAAGTCTATCTAGAGACCAGAAATTACAGTTGCAGACAATGAAGCAAAAACTCAATTTTTAAGTCTTTAGTCTTAATATTTTCAATAAAATTGTCTCTACAAACTTCTTTGTATGAAATAAAATTTTATTAAAAGTTTGTATAGTCAGGAAAATATTTAAAAGGAGGAAAACAGTAAAAACATCAAAAAACAATTAGAGACTGCTTCATATAGGAACAAATTTGAAAACTTTTAAAATATACAAAATTATTACTTAGTAAGTCAGTTAAAGTCTTATTCATCTTGACAGTAGAAAAACAGCAATTAGTAGAGTCTACTGATTACTCAGAAAGGTATATTAAAATACTTCATTATGATTGGAAGTTTATAAAAATTTGTCCTTTCAGTTTTGACAGTTGATACTGATTTTGAACTTCTATGCAATATGCCTCTTTATTTTCAGGGGTGCTATTAGTCTTAAAGGCAACTAAAATCTAATTAGTCAGAAAGGTTTAAAGTAAAGTTATGTAAAAGATTTGCTCTTGAAACATCTACCAAGAGAAACATGTAGCTACTTTCGCTTTAAACAAAGCAACTCAATGGCTTAGCATAAGACTGCCTGAAAAATAGGCAATATTCAGGTTTGGGGAAATGGAAGCATTCACATTTTATAATGAATATACACTAAGAGGAAGTATAGAAACATCTACCAACAACTTTATAATCAATGAACAGTGGCTTCATGATTTTACCATATAAATGTTATTCTAATAAAATGATATGGGAATATACAAAGATCATTTAATATAAGAATGAAAAACTGAAAAGTTTTAGTTTGGACTATGTATTCAGTAATAGATGACTAAGTAAACTAAAGCAGGATACTAGTAGACACAAAGTAAAACTTGGTACCAATTTTAATAAATATACAGAAAATTATTAGTGTATATGCACGTGTGTGTAGAAAGGCAAAAAAAGGGACAAGAATAAGTTCTCCATTTGAATAAAAAGGAGTAAAATTTTTCTTTTTAGATAAGGGGGTAATTTTATATCTAACTGTTCAGCATTTTGTAAATTAAATTAAAAACAAAATAACAGCAAATGTAATTACAAAAAAACAAACAAAAAATAACTTAATTATTACACATGGGTTTTTAAAAGACAAGTATTAGGCTAGTTCAGCTACTGGTCTACTTATCAACTGTAAATGATGGCAGTGATTCTTCTTTTTCTCTAACTGTGCTCACATTCTGCACCAGGTAATAAAATTAAGGTTATTTCTTACACAAAAAGCTAATTGTCAATAAAAGAATGTACTCTACAGAATATTAATATTTGATTTTAAAGTTACTTGTGAAAGAAAATTCTGAATAGTCACAGGCAGCAAACTATTTTTAATAATTTCTTACTTTGAAAGTCATAGGTAAATCTTCATCATCTGTAGGATCTACGTCAAACCAATTATCATCCGTATCTCCCATTTCTTGTAAGCTTTTGTGAAATTCTAGTAGTCCTCCATTATATCTGCAAGGCAGTTTAAAGGAAAGGTTAGTTTGAACTACACTCAGGTACTATATAGTTTATAAATGTGGGAACCAGAAACCCAAAGAAGGTGGTGATAACCTCTGGCATGCTGTAGAAATACAAATACTAGGACTCTCACCTGTGGTAGACTGGGATGAAATACAGGTAGGAGGGGAGGCACTAGGTTATGTAGTAGCTCAAGCTTGAACAGTATGGGGGCCATGGTAATTAAAGGGGTTGTAGAGTTGGTTGGCTTTTGTTAACTGTCTTGGAGGCCTTGAAGAAAGAGAATGACAGGTATAGGTCAGCCAACTATTAATTTAGCATGCACTTTGAAAGCCAGAAGGCCTCTAAGGCAGCATTTAAATTGATTCTTATTTCCTATACTCAATCTGTGCTGAAAATAAGGGCCAATAAGAGGATAAACTGTAAATGAAAACAAATATACAGCCTTGACAGGCTATTATCAACTCAGGACACTCCGTAAAAGCTAGAAGAATACTACGCTATGATTTAAAGAATTCTAACAGCATATTATGCCAAACTTGGGGCCAGAATTTTATAATAAAAAGTAAAACCACTGCAATGGGACCTCAGGCCCAGCCTCAATGGGACTACTATGCTAAAATCAGGGCTTTGATAATGAATAAGTAGACCCAGATATCTGAAATGAGGATATGAGTATGAATGTGCTCAGAAATTGCAAGTGTCTAAATTCTTGCTGACCAATTTGACTAGAAAGGATTTCTTCTTCCTTCCTAGAGGACACCTGCTTCCCTTTAGAGATCATGAAAAAATATCATCAGAGATGCACATTCCAAGAGAAGATGACCATCTTCTTCAGATCTTTCTCTCTCTCCACTCATTGCCCTTGGACCAGGACAGCTAGGGTCAGACACAATGGCCCAAGATGGAAAACAAAGTCTAATACTTCCAGGAAGAAGAAAATATATATATTCACCTATAAATTGCACATGACTGATATGAAAGAAGAAACATGGAAGTAGATTCTAAGAATGTGAAACCAAGGGGAAAATACAAGCCTAAATGAGGAAGTGGATACTGACATAGAACACCTCACACAGAAGTCAAGATTTGGTATTCTTGCAGGGACATCTGAAGCCAATCCTGACATGCTTCCAGAAATTTGATACAATTATGGCCAACAGTAAAGGAGGTACAAAGGCTAGAAATTTCTTGGCATAGTATTAACAGAATCAGGAGGTTCTAAGGGTTATAATGGTACTGCTCTTTAAGAACACAGAACCTATCACTTGTAGACAGTGAAGAAAGCCCTAAGTGAATTTGGTCATGTTCCTATCAAAGATCCCATAGCCACAGGCTCATAAGGATGGCAAAGACTTCCTTGGAGGACAAGTGTGAGTGCTGACAAGTGTGTGCAGAAAATGTACAATACAGTTTTCTCCCTCTGGATATTTATGGCCTAACGCATGTTCTACTATAGAGACTGCTCCTACTGACATTAGCTAAATCTGTCTCGTTGATAAAAACCCTGTGTCATTGATTATCTGAATGTAGTAACTCTGCCTCCTTGTTCAGCTATATGTAGTAACTTTGCCTCTCTGTTCAACTCTATATACTAAACATGCTGAGTTTACAGGGTTTTGTGGTTTCTCCAGCCAGGAGCCCAGACCACCTGATCCCAGTTTTGGTCCATGTATCTACCTGTGTTTGTCTTTTTTTTAATTCCCTAGCTGCCCAGTCAGGTCTGTTCCTGGAGTTGTATTGGACATAGCAATCACAATGTTCCTGGTAGAGGCACTGACTAATGTACTAAGAAATATAAAGGGCATCAATAACTCTGATAAGCTCAATTATGCCCTCGATAACCCAGGGAAGAATGCATAGTTATGTTCCTTCTACTTGTTAGCTTTCAAGATCTATTTCAGTTATTCTACCAACATTTTGTTTATTTCTATTTTATTCCAATATTAGTTGTATAGAATATTATAATTTTGATAAGTTGATTTGTTTAATCAATGTGTCAATACTACAAAGCCTCTGTAACCTACCATTTTCAAAGACAAAATGCACTTGTTCGAGACACTGTCGAAATATAGAAAAATAACTTAAAAGTGAAAGGTAATGATTCTGCTACTTAAAGGGCTTTTAGTGTTAATGATGTAGAGAATAGATCCTCTTCAACTACAATCAAAACAGAGAAGAAAAAGTAGTTTCCTTTCTGAGGGAAGGTCACAGTACACATCTTTGCGTTAATCTATGTTAAGTATTTGACACTCAGAGAATCATCTTTCCATTTTGATCTTTACATTCTCCAAAGCATCATATGGACCCTGGTACACTGGTGATGTCATTTCTAGACAGACTCAGTGAATAGAAGTGGGAAGACTCTGACTCCCTACCACAAGAGTCATGGCAGAGGATAGGAACGAAATATTAACTAGAATAATCTACCATCTACATGGTAGTTTTAGGCCTGCAATGATGCTTCCCAGCAGCAATCCCTTTCCTAGTCATCCCTTATATCCCAGCCAACAATTATATCCTTAGACTTTTGTTGATTTTCTAGACCATTTTGGAGCACCCATAAGGACTTGGATTATTCACTGTATTTTCCTCCATAGCTAAAATGTTTCATTTTTTCATTACTGGGTGTTTTGAATAATCATTTGATTAAAACCTACATCTTTCACAATACTTTTAGTCTATGTCATGTTTTACTGTATCCCTAGGACCTAGCACAATCCTTGGACTATGATAGATGCTTAAGATAAATCAAATAAATGATTGAAGCTACAAAAGCTATGAATATCCATAAAGGAAGTGAACAAAAAAATTGCATAGATTTATCTGTATAATTTCACCTTCCTAAAATGTGTAATATTTAGTATTCTCAAAGCTCAATACTTGGACCTTTCAACTTGCTTGTTTTCATTTGTTTGTTTTTAGTTGTTAGGAAAGAGTCTCACTCTATGGCCTAGGCTGACCTGGAACTTTTAATCCTACTACTTCTGCCTCCTTATTGAAGGGATTATAGGTATGTGCAACCACGTCCAAATTCCTTCCAATTCTGTATCAGGTCACTTATACTTAAAAAACTCAGTAGTGAGAATGTCAGTAACTACAATCATCATTTATCATGCACTGTATTAATTTTTTGTACACTAGTACAAAAATTTTTGTACACTAGTACTAGGCACTGTTATTCACCCCATAAAATTTTTATGATATAGATGTTAATCTTGGTTCCATTTTAGATATCAGAAAAATCAGACTTAGTAAAATTAAATTTCTTAGGTAAGTGCTAGAAAAAATGTATTTGAATCCAGGTTGTCAGATTCTAAAGCCCATATTACTAACGTTGATGATGGGCTGCATCACACTGCCATGGACTGTGTAAATATTTCCAGTGTAAATATTTCCAAGTGCATGGAATTAACTACCAGAAATTAGAAAGAAAAAAAGAACACTCTGAGACCATAAATTTTATGATTAATGGTATACAGTGCAAATTTTATTTCCATTTTACAATAACAAAAGGCAACAGTGAAGATGTACATATAAATAAAATGCTTACCTCTTCTGAGCACATCGAAGTAAACCACGTCCAAAATAAACTAAAGTCATAAAGTTTTCACAAATTTCATGTTCTTGGATCATCATCTTCATCACTAGAAATTTATTTTCAGCTTCTGTGCAGTCCTGTAGTGACACAACAAGTGGTTGGATGTGTGAAAAATGACTTTTTCTTTTACAATATATATTTATTCTGCAACTAGAAAATTTAGAACACATTTAAGAAAAGAATAATTTGGGCTAGAGAGATGGCTCAGAGGTTAAGAAAAAAATGATGATCCAATCATCTGATTATGTATTATTATTTGTAATCTTCATATCTCTGAAAATGATTATAAGTACTAAGCATTTAACATAGTTCACAAACACAAAAGCTTTAACTCTACATTTTTAACCATTTCAAAGGGAAATTGTAACAATTTTTGGATATAAAATGACAAAAAATTGTCAGCCAAACAGAAGCATGTCTAACAACTACTAGAATATAATTAGTTGTTTGTTTGTTTTTTTAAATTCTAATCACAGCATAATCTTCTGAGCTTTTTAAAATGGAAATGGATGACTCCCTGACAATAGGTATAATTTTTTCTAAGGGGAGAAATACAGTGTAGACTTGTAATTTAAGATTAGAATTAGTTCTAACCGATGCCTCATTTCGAATGTGTGTGATAAAACTTAGTAACTAAGAGCAAGGGCTGGTAAAAAGGAAAGTAAAAGGCTATCAAAGCTGCAAAAAAGTAAGAAAAATAAACAATGAAAAAAAAGGAAGATTTCTAGTTAATTTCCAGATTTCTATTCATTTGGTTCAGTTTAATTTGACAAAATAAAAAACTGAGGTAAAACTCTCATTTCACAAGAATAAGATTAAGAAAAAAAGAGATTAAGCTGCATTTGAAATAGATTAATATATATTATTAAGTACACAAATGAGAATCATTTAAAATATACGATTATATTTTTATAATAGCCTTAAAAAAGACAGTTTAAGTATAAGCTAATATTAAGTTCTCCATTATTTCTAGTCACAACATAACTCTTAAACATAATTATTATCTAATACAAATATAAGACAGAAAAGTTACAGAATTCCTTCAATTTCAAAGTTTTTTTTTTAAATCACCACTTTCAATTGCTACAATAAAGCTAAGGAGTATTAAGATTTATAAATAATACATGCTACATACCTCTTTCTTTCCTCTTTCACTGAGTGCTACTCCATACAAAAATAGTAATGTCAAGTAATAACCAATATTAATTTGCTGTACCTACAAAAAATATGTTAATTGGTTATTTACATCTTGTTACTTTTCAGTTTAACAAAATTAATAAGTCTTTGATCTATTTAATAATTACTAAAAATAGTGCAAATTTTCATTTAATTACTCATCATTTGCTAATAACTATAGAGAAGCATGTTATTTTCATTTGATACAATTATCCACAAAAAAATTGATTAAAGATAAAAGTAAATTCAATCAAAACATATTACATTTAGCTTTTTAAAAAATGCTTTCTCTTTTTAATTATGTAACATTCTAGTAATCAAAAACCCCTACAAGACATTACAGGCTAACAAATAAAAAACCTAGTGCCAGGAATCAGTTATCTCTTTTCATGTTGTTGGCCAATGAGTTCCTGTAGACCCCCATACATTATAGGCTATTGCCATTGCTATTTATCTCCAGAACTTTATTGTACTGTTGAAGACATTATGTACTTGAGTAACAGAGAAGGAAGATATCAAGCTGGTACTGACCTAGAACCTTCTTTCATAGTTCTGGGAGGTGTTATACACACTACTGGAGGAGAAAAGTAATTATTAATGCTTCCTAGCTGTGAATTCTATGAATTACAATAATGTCTGACATGGCAAGACATACCTACTGGTGCAATGGTGGCACGAACATCTTGTGTCACCAACAACTTTCCCATTGAATGTAAGTCCTGCTCTACAGATAAAACCATCTCTGGCACCAGAGGCCAAGATCTTGTGGCTAGATAGATCACAGGCCCTAGTACTGTTACATTCTGAAATGGACATAGTATTAAAATGACTTCTAATGAGCTATCATTATAACCATAAATTAATGCATCTCTGAACCTACCTCAAAGAAACTTCTATTTGCAGTAGACACTGATTAGCATGAAGATCTACAATTGGCCAAAGTGCAAAGAATAAGAGACCGTGGAATGCTAAGCCCTAAATGGGACATCTGTATTACACCCCCTTCTCCTAAGATTCAAGGATCATTGTGAGCAGAGCAGAAAGACAGAAGTAGTAGATGAATAAAAGGAAATAGTGTCCTGCTGAGACAAGAGAGTAGCATAACAGCAGAAGAGGCTAATGAGTAGGGAAAAAGAGGGATTAGGGTTTTTTCTTTCTTCATATTGAAAAAATGTGAATACATTTAATATATACAACAATATTTGAGTTACACATAAATTGTAGAGTGACTACATCAAGCTCATTTACACATGAAGGGCTTTACATATTTATCACTACTGTGGTAAAAATTTATAATCTTCTCAGCATTCTTAGGAATGCTATACATTGCTAGTAACTACAATCATAACAAGGTGTAGTAGGTCTCTTAAACATTTTCCCTCACATCTAAATAAATTTTTGTATAGTTTGACCAACATCTCTTCAACTCTTCCCCTCCACCCTACCTTGGTGTCAATCATCCTATTCTCTGTTTAACATTTTTTGGACTCTTTATGTAGCTGCATTTCTGTGTCTGAATCATTTTCTGAAGTTCATGACTTTATATACTAGAATGTCCAGTCCCAGTAGTCCAGGTGTCTTTTAATCTAAGAAAATACAGATAGGCACACACGGCTGTTCTCTCAATGAAAAATACAACCCAAGGCCATGATTTCAAACATTCGATACAAAACACTTACAGTACAATTAGTAGCTTGAATGTTTCTAAGTGCTGCTTCCAGTTGTGTTATCAAAAAATGTAATGTTAAAGCAGGAACAATTTCTTCCCCAGTCTGGCTATTAGCTGCAACTTCCCTCTGTGGAGAATAAGAGAGGTGAAGAAAAATGTATAACCTTTCCTTGTTGGAGACAAAGTTTTTTTTTTAATTACCTTAGTAATATACATTATTCACATTTATGTTATTGTTAAATCAAAATAAACATTAAACTTCATAGTTTACTACTACAAACCTACATTCCTTTGAGGACTTTTCCATTTTTTGTTAACAAGTCCATAGTCAAGGGTGACATCAAAACCTTTTCTGAATATCAGACGGAGATTTTAAGACTCTGATTATACCATAGAGCTTTAAAAGTCGTATATAGCTGTACATCTGAACTAAAGAGATATGATGATTTTTACCTTCATAGACTGGAAGAAGTCTTCTTGTATGAACTTTTCAACGTTAGGGACCACACCTTTGGGTAGAGCATCGATGGCATTTAATAGCTTCTTCACTTCTAATAGTATGTTTACAGGGTCAAGATCAGTAGGTATATTTGTTTTCTCTTTGTCCTACAAGACATTTAATTTATTAAAATATACATAATACAATTTCATTTATTCTAGTGATAAAATCACCAAAAATATTAAAAAATGGGCAAAGTTCTTCCTATATAGACAAGTAACAGAACCATAAAATATAAGAGTAAGACCATCTCTGCTCCGCAAAAACACATATGCTGCAGATTATTCTATACAGTAGGAAAACAATTGTTTTTTAAGTGATATGACTGCTCTTTCAGCTTCTTTCTAGACTCATGGATTTTAAATGAACTAAGCTTCAAGATTTTAAGTTAAAAACAAAAATAGAAAGACTTATTTCAACTCAGTCAGAACTGAGTAATTATTAATAACCTTATTTAGAGATTTAAACTAGCTATCATTAATGGTTAACTGATAACTAAACCGTCAACCCTGAGAGACTATCTACTAACAACAGTTGTGAAAAGCCAGTGGAGAAGAAAGACAAAGATACAGAGCCAACAGATGGCAGCCCTCCCTCACAATGCAAACTCTGAGAACATGGTGTCGTGGTTAGTTCCTAAAAATCAGAATAGCTTACTACAGACCTAGAAAGAGCTTGAGTTACTGAAAAAGCCCAAGCATGGGATGTTTAATTCTTGGATCCCTAATAGAACAATACTTAGAAAAGCAATTAAGAATCAATAAAACCTACTGAGGCACTGTCTATATATACTCTATCCTCTAGGGCTGTCTCACACTTGTTCTTCCATCCCTAGTCATTTTGAAGAACTGATACACCTTTGAAAAACTGACACACTTTATATTTTACAGTTCTTCATGTATGACAATTATAACCAAAGTCTTTTAAAAAGAATTGTCAAATGTTTTTGAAAAGTACACAAATACCTGTTACAGAATCTGTTGGCTTGAAATTTTCAAATTTTTTTTAAAAGCCCACAAAATAGCTTTTAAAATCTTACAAGGAGTGACTATTGTCTACAGTACAACTACGCTAAATTAAAGATCAATTTTAAAGTCAGAAGTTACTAAAGAATCTGACACGATTAACAAATTTACATACAGACATGATTATGACATGAATAAATACTTCTTAAGGAAATGTTATGGATGTTACATATTTATCCTGTATCTTAATTTTAACATTTTAAAATTTTTTGTCAAAATATTTTATGTCTGATTCATGTTAAGAAAGTTTATTTAACATCTAACCTAATTGAGGTGGAAGTGTGTGGTGTTTGGAATGAGACTGGCTCCCAAGGCTCATTCATGTATTTGAATATTCCCGTTGGTGGAACTGTTTAAAAGGATTAAGAGATGTAACCTTGTTGGAGATGATGTGCAGTACTCTGCTACCTGGTTGTGCCACAAAATGTAAGCTCTCAGCTACTGCTCTGGTGCCATGCCTGCCAGCCTGCTATGTTCCCCATGGTCATAGACTCACTTGGGAAATTTTGGCCCTCATTAAATGGTTTATTCTGTTATTTGCCTGGGTTACAATGTCTTATCACAAAGATAAGAAAGTAACTAAGACAAAGTGTCCACCTTTTCTTAATTTCATAGTCCTAACTTTGATTTAGAAATGCCTTTTCTGGATCTAATAGCCCTGGTTCCTGCTTTTGCTCCAATGTATAACCTGTGTATACTGGAATGTATTATAACTATTCTGAAATATTTTATAGTGATAAACTCATGCTATTATGATTATTTTTCTTTCCTAATGTGTTACTATAAAACCTTCCAAATTTTATTAGCATGTGAATATCAATCATTAAGGAAAATTGATGGGAAGAAAAACTACATGAAAAATAAAATGCTGGGCTCATAACCAAAAAGAAAAAATGCATATTTTCCCTTTATGTATGTATGAGTAACGTGTGTGTGCCTGATGTCCATAGAGGCAAGAATTGGGCATGAGATCTTTAAAACTGAAGTTACAGACAGTTGTGAATTTCCATACGGGTGCTGAAAACTAGATCTATGCTCTTGCAAGCACATCAAATGTTCATAACCTTTAAGCCATCTCTCCGGCCCCTCATCTCAATAAAAGTTTTAAGTTAATATATAACTCAGGTTTATTATCTTCCACTTACACTTAGAAGTTCTAACAGTAAAAACAATAAAATGAAAAGAATTAGTTTTAGAAATAAATCAATAAAACTTTTGATAAATAAAATTCTGGATGTGGGTCTTCCTTCATACACACACACACATTCTTAGCTTAATTTTTTTAAATTTTCCTTTTCATAGGTAAATGAAGTTAGGAGGGTATATAATGCTTACTTGGTATGGTTTTATCCATAGTATTGCAAAGAAAAAAAACATTAACAAATGAAACCTGATAAGATGTTCTGGGGTAAGGAAGTTCTATTTTCAACAGATTTCAACTCCTCATCAGGATTAGAATATCCTTGGCATATAGCAGCAATCATCCCAGAAAGACTTAATTATGAAAAATGTACTTTTTCAGAAAGTGACCTACTAAAAATTTTATAACTAGACATTGCATCGTAACTTCATATACAAATGAATCAACTCATTACCAATTTACTAAATGTTAATGAAAATTATTTTCCTCTTACCAACTGACTGACTGGTTTTTCTACTTTATTCTCAGTTTCTTCCTTGGTTTGCTCCTCCACATCAGGATTTCCACTTTAAATTAAAAGAAAGAAAAGCATATTAAGAATATTTCCTCACAAAGATCATAAATTGTATCAGTAAAGATTCAAAGAATGGAGTCGTCTCAAAGTTTCAAAAGTATCACAAACGTCTATCAAAGACTGAAGTGGGAATAGGTACCATATCTCTTTGGAGGCTCAATTAAAGAAAAGCTATGGTAGAGAAACCAGCAAAGCAGAATAATCAACTCTTTACCCTTACCAGACATACAACAGACAAAAATATGAGAGAAAACCTTATTAACAGAGCTGGGGGATGGCTCAATGGGTAATATTCTTGCGCTGTAAGACTAAGGACCTAAGTTTGGATTCCTAGTACTCAAGTTAAAAGTCAGGCATCTCAGCACACTCTTTTTGTTGTTGTTGTTGTTTGTTTTGGCAGCACACTCTTATAACCCCAATGCCACTACAGTGGGGAATGGGTAGAGGCCCCTGTGCAGCCGGAAAAGTAGAAAGAGGAACTGCAGGTACAGTGAGAGATGCTGCCCCAAAACAAAAGGACAGTGATGGAGGAAGATACCTCTGCCTTCCACACATTTCTGCAAGGCTGAGTATATGCCCACACATATATCCACCACCAACAAGCTTCAAACATTATATCAAGGTGAAAAAAACGTATCTGATAAGGATGATATTCTTTATGTGTGTGGGTATGTATCAAAATAAGAAAGGTTAGGAAGATATGTGTGTATATATATATATATATGTGTGTGTGTGTGTGTGTGTATACAGATATAGTATAAAGAAATGTATATTTATATATATTTATATACAAACAAAAACACCTATTTTGTTGTTTTTTTTAACTTTATACAATGTATTTCTTTCTTCCAGTTCCTCTCCACCTACCTACCCACCCAACATTACATGCTTTGTCTCAAAAACAAAATATGCAAAAATCAAAACAGACAAAAAAGCAGTAAGACAAAAAAAATTATCAAAACAAAAACTGCAAAAAAAAAAAAAAATGGAGTCAGTTTTGTTTCAGCCAACTGCTCCTAGGCATGGGACCTGTCTTGGAGAATACAAATACATTTTGAGACCAAGTTTTGCTATGCAGCCTAGGCTGGTGTGGGACCTTTAAACCTCCTGCCTAACCTTATAAACACTGAAATAAGAATAATATAATAAATCATATGCCATAATACCAAAAGTTTTAAAAATCTCATATACATAATTTTATTGTTTGTTTAATAGCTTCTGAATTTCAAATTGTCCAGTTTTTCAAAACACATTAATTGAGGGAAACTATTATATCTAGAAATCATGCGTTGTTTTGGTAATAAATAATCAGACAGCTTTTACTTTTAATATTGACTCCAATATTAACATATGCAGTGTTATATAATGATCTAAAAGATTTATAAAGTATTTTTGTAGTGTCACATAGGAACTATAATATAGGATCATATGTAAATTCTGTGCTCTTAATTCTGCAGAGTGTCACATAAAATAATGAGGGGAGAAACAATGATTTTATACAGAATTATACTTTACAAAATATGACTTTATATGTATATCTGACAATCATTTATCATTTATTATGTATAAGCTGATTTCATCTGGGGAAACTGAGATAAACTACAGAAACATTTTAAAATATGACGCTCAGTACACTTAGCATGTCATGGCTAAGACAAGTCTACTAGCTTTGCTAATCTCATAATCTTCTACCAACCTCTTATTATCTAAGAATGAATGCAGCAGTATTCCAAAACCTTTCAAGGCTTGAGGGAATGCAATATGTTCTCCAGTAAATACTAGATAACTCCATTTCATGATCACTCACTCTTTAATCTAATAGTTACCACTCTCAGATGCATATTAAAGTCAACTATGACAGTCTGGAAACATCCAGATGCCCAAAACTGGCTGGCTGTGTTGTCTAGTCTTATATCAACTTGACACACACACTGGAGTTATCTGAATGGAGGGAACCTTAACTGAGAAAATGCATCCCTAAGATCTTAATTAGTTACTAAGATGGAGGAGGACCCAGACCATTGTGGGTGGTTCTATCCCTGGGATAGTGGTCCTAGATTCTATAAGAAAGCAAGATGAGCAGGCCACGGGAAACAATCCAGTAAGTAGTACCCCTCCATGGTTTCTGCATCAGGTCCTGCCTCCGGAATCCTTCCCTGTTTGAGTTCCTGTCCTGACTTCCTCAGTGATGAACAGTGCTGTTAAAGTGTAAGCTGAATAAACCCTTCCCTCCCCCGTGGTCATGGTGTTTTGTCACAGCAATAGAAATCCTAAGACACTGGCTTAAGAACTTCTGATACAATATATTTTCTATATTTTCTCTAGCTTCCAGAGTAAAATTAAGTACATAACCTCAACTAGTCCTCATTCCTTCTTTACACAAAAGAAAACTCCTTATCAAGAAAATACAAATCTTCCAGAAGAAGTACTTAGCATGTAAGTTCTTAAGTGCATTTTCTTTTCTGGTGTTGTATATGTGTGTAGTACTATGATTGAACTCAGAACCCAGAGTCAGCTAGGCAAGTGTTCTACTATTGAACTACGTCATCATCTTTCAGAGTCAAGCTAGATAAATTTCTCAGGCTCATCTCAAACTTGACAACCTCTTTACTTGGACTCCTATTAGCTAAAATTAGAGGCATATACAACCAACTTAGGCTCTTAAGCACATTTTTTGCTCTTTCCAATTCAAATGATGATCTATTCTCTCCTGCTTCTACAGTCATCAAATGTTTCTCATCTTTTAAAAATCAGTTCTAACGTCCTTTTGTGAAAACTCAATGGCCAATTGGTATTATTTTTTTTCCCATAAACCCACAGAGTCTGTGATATTATATTTATGTACTTTGCCTATAAATATACATTTTATATGCGTCCCTACTACATCAGCAGCTCTACTTACAAAGCTTTTTTCTTAGGTATTGGTCTTTAAGTACCAAGGAATCAATAAATAGGTCTTCTATGTTATGCTTCTTACCTTGTATAAAGTGGGCATTAATAAAACACACACACAAAAAACCCCACTAAAATCAAAGACAACTTACACTCAGTCAATTAAAGTGCCTGTTAAAATGATATTTTGGTCAAAAAAAAAAAAAAATGTCCCAAGTGGGGCCTGGAGAGATGGACTGGTGGCATTAGTTGCTCATCCAGAGGATCCACTTTTAATTCCCAACATCTACATTATGGCTCCTATCTGTTAATTCCAGTCCCTGGGGATCTGGATCCAATGCCCTCTTCTGGCTTCTTCATACATACATATATACACACACATACACATACACATACACACACACACACACACACACACACACACACACACACACACACTCATATCTGTTAACTCCAGTCCCTGGGGATCTGGATCTGATGCCCTCTTCTGGCTTCTTCATACACACATACACACACATACACACACACACACACACACACACACACACACATACACACACACACACAGAGGACACATAAACACATGCAAGCAAAACAGCCAAACACATTAAAAAAATTTTTTTTTAAACTGATGTCTGTGTACCTTGAAAAACATGCCCCCAAGTATGGAACACTGTTTATAGTCTTTTGTTCTAGAGATCTCTTCTGAAAACTGGACTTCACTCTGTCTACAATTCACTCTAATCAAAGATGTTAAATTGACTTAAGTTTAAGTGACATTTAATTCAGAACGGTTTTCGAAGTTTATGGAGAAAAATCTAATGTTGTAATATCTTTGGAATTAACAACTGCAGTTGGTTGTGTTAACCCATTCCTTACCTCACAAAAAATTCTTCTGCTAGAGAATCCATGTTACAAAATGTTCCTTTACAAGATTTATTCCAATGCTTGCAAATTGACTTTTACTCCAGCCATTTAAAGCTGTAAGAAAAATAACAGTTTTAATAGAAAGATACAAAATTTTTCTTTCTCCCCTGTATAGACCAGTAAATGGTTATTTTTTAAATTTCTTGATGTTCCATAAAAGAATATAATCACCACCTAGAATTTACATTTTTTTCTGAGCATAGGTATATTTTATCAGTCTATAATCATATTGAAATAGTTTTTATAGCATTGAATGCTGTACAAAACCATCTTTTACATTATTTTAATTTCCAATATTATTAAATAGTTGGTTCATTGTGTCTAGTACTGGGAACTGTGCTTAGAACCTTGTGCACACTAGAGAAGCATTAAATCTACCTACCATTCAAGCTCTATCCCTATCCCTATTTGATATTTCATTATTTCTTTTATTTCTATTAGTTCTTTGAGAAATTTTTATAGTATGCTTTGATCATATTCATGTCCCAACTATTCCCAGATCACTCTTATTTTTCTATGTATCCAACTTCAAGTATTTTTTTTAATCTCATTAAGACCAGTTTGTACTGCTCAAATATTAATGCATGTGCTACACGATCACACTAAACTGCCCAGGCTGGCCTTGAACTCCCTACACAGTGTAGGCAGTACCTGAATTATGTTCCTGTGATTGAAGGCCTGCACCACTACACATTTCATTAGGGTTTTCTTAACCATTTTCTTATAGCATACAACTTGATTTCCCATTTTTTCATTATAAGCTATTCTACAAACTCCTCTGACCTATTATTACCCTTTTATTATATTAATGGCATTTCTTTACAGTAAGTTCACAGTAGAATTGCTAGATCAAAAGATACATAGTTGAGTTCACTGACACATACTGTCAAATGGCTTCCTATAGCGGCCTATCAGTTCCTGCTCAATTATAATACTAACAGTAGTGAACATTCTTTCTTTTCAATATAAAAATGCTACATAGCCACTTTCCTCCCCAAACTATATAACTGTACAGCTCCATAAAATACAATATGAGATATAATGCGCTCTTGCATATTCTCCAGCTCAAATACCAAAGCACACACACACACAAAATATATAGATGTACTTTCTTCTCTCCCCGCCTTCTGAAAGACAGGGTCTCACTGTATAGTCCTAAAACTTACCACATAGACCAGGCTGGCCTTGAACTCAGATTCTCCTGCCTCTGTTTCCAAAGTGCTGGGATTAAGATCAAGTGCCACCACCACCCAGCTAAGATTGGTATAGCTAAAAAAGCCTTTTAGCATATGCAATTTCCACATCAAGAAAATATATGCCACAAGGTCCATCTATTAAGAAATCAGATCATACTTAAGAAACATTGTCTTTATGATGTTAAAGAGAACTGAAAGATTTAGAACTCTTGTCTTAAAGTATGAGTATTTACCTATCAGTAAACTTAAAACAGGAGGTGGTAACCTATCCTGGTACGAGGGCCATAAGTTCTGCAGAGAGCACTGCAAAGTAGGCATGTCCTATGAAAGTATGATATTCTCAATATTCTATACTGACTGTGACTGCTGAGTAACACATATAGATCAGAAAGGCAAGAATAATTCAGCAATCTGACACTGCTCAAGGCACAAATGCAAAGACACATACACACGAGGGGAGAACATTCTGTAAATCTCCTCATCAGAAAGAGAGCTTACTAACACCTCTCATTTCTGGCAGTCCTCAACAAAACACTTCCATGTATCAACTTTAGTAATCAATATGTAGAATTAAGTTCTCTGTGGTAAATTATTTTATCTTACAATTTTACTAAATAAGCAAAATCATAATTAGAGTCACTCTGGATGTGTAATACTGACAAAAGACACAAGAAACAGCTAATAATGAAAACAGGTAGAGGATAAGCAATCTTTCATACTGATCAGATCTGCATCTTATCTTAAATAAAAATAAAGCTGTGGGAATTTTGTGATTCTGTGAATTCTTTTCCAAAAAGAAACAATCAATAAAACATTATTTCACAACTGTAACACAGACACACATTTGCCTTTTCTGGACATCCCAGATTCATTGAAGTTTAGACATGGAGACCTTATTCTCAGTAAGGTCTCCTTTAATTAAATTAAAATTTCCTGTGAAGATCACAGGAAAGGTTTATGTAAAACGGAGGAAAATCTGGCTAGAAGGTAGAAAGGGGAAGTCCTCTTTAAGCTGTTCTGTATTAAGATGAAAGGGGGTGAAAAATTAATAAATCAAGACATTTATATACTGAATTAATAAAGGCTAGTAGCTTTTCTGCCTGTTTAAAATACAACCTGAGACAAAGCTGAATGAGGAAATTTCCAGGAAAGCAGATTATCAACGTTATTACTTTCTAGGACCAGCAAAGCAAGTATGTGTGGCCAGCAGCAACAATCACATTTTACAGCCTCAGCTGGGAAGGCCTAAGTGCCTGGCAACCAAAAGAAAGCAGACAGAAGTGTTATCAGTGTCCACCTACAATAAGCTAGAGGTTGCTGGAGATGCTGTGAATGTGTTGCTCTGATTGATTAATAAATAAAACGTTTATTTTCCAGTAGCCACGCAGGAAGTATAGTATAGGCAGGACAAGAGAAAGGAGAATTCTGGGAGGCGGAAGACTGAGTCAGGAGACACTGCCAGCCGCTGCCATGAGAAGTAAGATGTACAGCATCGGTAAGCCACAAGCCATGAGGCAACTTATAGATTAATAGAAATGGGTTAATTTAAGATATAAGAACTAGATAGCAAGATGCCTGCCACGGCCATACAGTTTATAAGTAATATAAGTCTCTGTGTGTTTACTTGGATCTGAGTGGCTGCGGGCCCAGGCGAGAATGGAGAAATCTCCAGCTGCAAGAGGTACTCAGCTTTTTAAAAGAGGTCAGAAGGAACCTTTAAAGTCAAGATTAACATAGGAGAAAGGGTAAATTTAGTTTCCCCCCAGTGTACTCATTTTAGTAGACTTTCCCGTCATAGGAGACAATTCACTGTCTTCCTTACACCAAGACTGCTTTTTGACAGAACTTATTAGGCTCCTGCTTGACTGGAGGTTCATTGTCAATTTACTACACATCTTACCCAGGCTGTTTTTCACTGGCAGAAGAACAAACACTGTTATCTATACCAGTAAAACACCTTTCTTACTGTTTCCTCTGAGTTCTCAGCTCTCATTTTTATTTACTGCTTTTACAATAAACTCCTTTATTCATTTGTAAAAGTGATTTTGGTTCCCATTCTTAAGGCTGTGATTAGTCACATCAAAGTAGACATGACAGTTACTTATAAACATTTATATCATAGCACCTGTCAATTTCCCCAGACTATACATGGGCATATTTTTGCAAAAATCCACTCCAATGTTCATCTTGACTAAGTTACCTGCCCAAGTCATAGACTCTAATCTTAACAAGTTTCCATTTTAGAGGGTGTGCAAAGGCCCATAAACTCTCTACCCTTCACAACTCTGGCACTTACAGAATGCAGGTGGAAAACTTATCAGCGTAGAGAACAATTAAAAAAAATAGATCTCACACCTTTCTCAATCCTAGTAGCTTGAAAATAAAGCAACATATTTGGTATTTCCAAGAGAGGATTTTATTAAGAATTTTTCATTTGTAAGCTAAACTACCTCCTCTCAGCTCCACTGTGGCAACCAATCTATTTCAAGATGATTTCATTCCCTGGAGCAAAAAACTAGATGAAGAACCATTAAGTTAAAAGAATGCATTGTGTTAAGAAGCTTAAGTAGTAAACACAGAAATGATTTTGTTCTCAGGAAGAAAATTAAGATCACTCTAACTATGATGTTTATACAAATACAGATGATAAAACATGTCTATTAACAAAGTGAAATAACAAATTACCTCGTTTGGATTCTTTCTGCAATACACAGATCTGCTCAGATATACACTAGTTTTTCAACTTTATATGAAATTAAAAAAAAATAATCTAAACATCAGGTCATCCGAAAATGGAGATAGATGATAATGGTACCTGTACTTTATGGAGTTGTTGAAACATGCCCTATAAAGTATGTTTCTTCCATAACCATTTTCATTATCATAATCACCATCATCATCACTTCACTGTTTACGTATACAGTAAAATTAGTTCACTTTCCTCTATTCCTCTGTGATGGAGAAATGCTATTGTATAGAAAGCAATGGTAACACTGAGATTTAAGAAATGGGACAAGAATTATTTTTCAAATATGTATGATATAAGCTGCAACTTAAGAGTCATTGTTTAGCCCCTCCAATTTTCATATCCGTACAGAATCATCAAGTGTACTCCTGGCCAGAGTATCATTTTTACCAGAGTACTACTGATAAAAACATCACTTGTTCTGGGTTTGGCACGTTAAAAGAATTTTGCTATTACAGAAATGCTGCATTAAACAACCTTTAATAGATAACTTGCTAACATTTTGAGTTTGAAGAAGCTCTACTCATTGTTTTGTTTTGAGAAATGATTTCTCTGCAAAACACCTCTAGCTGTCCTGGAATTCACTTTTTAGACCAGGCTGGCCTCAAACTCAGAGATCTACCTCTATCTGCCTCCCATATTAGTACTGGGATTAAAGGCATGTGCCACCACTGCCCAGCTAAGAAGATGTACTCTTATGCCATTAATTAAACATACTCCAGAAGTTTATGAGTCTGTTGATAAGCAGAATCTGACTCTGCTAAGTTATTACGTTTGCTTAATTTTACCAAAGGAAAAAAAAATAAAACTAAGACATGAGAAGTGATAGCTAGTTCAAAATTCAAAGTCACACCCAACGGCATAGGCCTATAATCTCAGCTACTCAGGAGGTTGAGGCAGAATACTCTCAAGTTCAAGGTCAGCCTGAACAACTCAGTAAGTTTTTTTTCTAAAATATTAAAAGGAGGAAAATGACAAGTGAAAATTTTCTAAGGACAATTAAGACATTTTATGATTAGAGTTTGTGGTGGTTTGAATAGGTATGTGGCCCTCATAGACTCATGTCTTTGAATGATTGGCACACAGGGAGTGGCACTACTAGTAGCTGTGGCCTTGTTGGAGTAAGTGTGTTACTGTGGGGGCAGGCTTTGAGATCCCGTAAGTCATGAGTGTACATTTCAAGTCTCCTGTTTCCTAGTTTGAGTTGCCAAGGTGTCTGACCATGGGTAATGGGATCCAGAAAGCCAGCTCATGTACCAGAGATAGATCCTGATCACACTGCCAGGGGCACCTCAAACAGACCCAGTTACACAACTGTTTCCCATATGCAGAGGGCATAGTCCGGTCCCATGCAGGTTCCATAGCTGTTGGTCAAAAGTTTGTGAGTTCTTATGAGCTTCATTCAGTTGTCTCTGTAGATTTCCTCTTCATGATCTTGACCCCCCTTGTTCATATAATCCCTCTTTCCTCTCTTAGACTGGACTCCTGGAACTCAGCCTGGTGCTTGGGTGTGAATCTCTGCAACTGCATCACTTACTAGATGACGGCTCATGTTTTCTCTTTCTGAGTCTAGGTTGCCTCACTCAGGATGACATTTTCTAGTTCTATCCATTTGCCTGGAAATTTCATGATGTCATTGTTTTTCATAGCTGAGTAATACTCATTGTGTAAATGTACCACATTTTTTTTTAATCCATTCTTCAGTTGAGGGACATCTAGGTTGCTTCTAGGTTCTAGCAGAACTATTTATAAGAATTTAAAACTGAGCTGGCTGGTGGTGGCTCATACCTTTAATTCCAGCACTTAGGAGGCAGTGGCAGGCGGACCTCTGTGAGTTCGAGGCCAGTCTGGTCTACACATCGAGGTCCATGATAGGCTCCAAAGCTACACAGAGAAACTCTTTCTCGAAAAAAACAAAACAAACAAACAAAAAAAAAGAATTTAAAACTGAGGAGTAGTTATATATCCAGTTTTCTTTTTTCAGGACCTCCTAAGCTATGCATATCCAATGCAGGTACACTGCAAATACTAAAAATGAATTAGTATTTATAGCAGGTAGATGTGGTCAGAATATGAAGTAGTCTCCCATAGGCTCACGTATTAGAATACTTGGTTCCCAGCTGGTGGCACTGTTTGTGAAGGTTATGGAACCTTTAGAAGGTGGAGCCTTGCTGGAAGAAGTGGGTCACTGGGTACAAGCCTTGAGGTTTTATCACTCCCCTATTTCCTGACTGCAGATACAGTGTGACTAAGTAGCAGCCTTCTGATCCTCCTTTCTTACCTTCCCTGCCATGATGGAAAGTAGCCCCTCAAACTGTAAGCTGGAACAAACGCTTTTCAATATTCATTCAACAAATAATGTCACCTATCTCTCTTCATACATCAAAACCTTTGAAGGCAGAACAAGATGCTGCTAAGTAGATTAAGACTGTTCTGCTAACCTAGACTTCTGTCAAGAGGTGGTAAATAGGTTCTTTAGATGGAAGATAACCACAGGGTTAACAGAATACTTAATATTTGCTAGCAGCAACTTCTTAGTCACCTCTCTTAGTTTCTCCATGTCTCTCCAATTTTTAAATACTTAAGTACTCTGAAATTCAGGGACCTAGGAAAAAACTTCTCTATCCATATCAACTTCTACAACATTTAGCCTTGAAGCTCTGATTTCTTTGTGTTGCATCCCCAATGTCTTTATTACTAATAAATTTAATAGAATAAACAATATCTCCTAACAGACATCTTGACACAATGTAAACTCTGATGTCTACCACTTTCCACAAAATAGCTGAATAGACATACTCAGTCAATTTTAACCTAGGTCAGTGTGACTAGTCATGGGCACACTCATGGACAAGAAATAAATACTTCTGATTCTTAACTACTTGTTTTCTAGTACAAACAAACTCTCTAAAACTGCAATCAAATTTTGAATTATCTCAATCGTCAATACCATCCTATCCCTCTTCTCTTAAGTCTTGCATCAAAACATATATTAACATTCATAACTTATTTACATGTCTTATATATTATTTCTATCTCTCATTAAAATAAAAACTGTACTTGGGTAGAAATTCACCATTGTATCCTCAGAATCGAGGTAAACCACTTAACTATTCATGAAATATATGATAGATGCATAAACAGTGGGTCACTGGTTTGTAATATGACCCCTACACCACAATATTCTACAGTTCTATAAAAACTTCAATCCCTGCTTTCATTCAGACTGATTTATTTAATATCAAATGCTATGTTAAAACTTAATGTTACTATTCAGTATTGAAGTCAATACTTTTCATTTCTTCTAGAACTAAATCAGCTAATGATACATAACTTTTGTTTGAAAATTGTAAGCAAGCATTATTTCTTCCAAGCCTCTTTCCTGCATTATAAACTGGAGAGACTAATTAGACAAAATGTAAACAGACAGTAATAAAAGCTTACAAGGAGGAAAGATTTTGTGCTAATCCTTAAAAAAATGAGTGAACTGGATTTCATCTTTTAAAAAAATGTATTCCTAATAACATTCTACTTTTCCCAGTAGCACTTATCATAGTTCCCCCAGATTTTAACCTCTTTCCTGACTAGTTTATGTCAACCTGCCACAAAACTTAACATTTAACCCAATTACCAAATGAGAAAATAAGAAAAGTACTGAAAATTCTAACTTAAAAATACAAGGCATGGAATCCTGAGTAAAAATAGCCGAAGTCTTTTTGCTACTGCCTTTGTACCTTCACAAATTACCTTTGTTATACTTTGTAATCTATAAAATGGTGATCATATCAATAGCACTGCATTGTTATGAAGATTAAATAGTCCTTAGAACATCCTTTGATGGATGGCAAGTACTGAAAAGTGTTAGTTGTTATTAGTATCCAACAAAAAGGCAACACAATTCACCGTATTACTTTAAAAGGGAAACTAAATGTATAAATGTGAACGTCTGGAGATTTTAAACAGGGTTTTAAAAAACAAAAGAGATAAAGAGCAATGTTCTAAACATAAACAATTATAAACACAGATAATGCTGAAGATCTTCCCTGTCACCATGATGTCCCATGTTGTAGAGATTACATTAATGCAATAAACTGAGACAGTATATAGGAAGAAGTTATTTTTATAGACAATATATATGTAGGAGATCTAAGAGAAAGAACAAACTCTTAGACTTAACAAAATTTTGGTAAGTAGCTGCTGACTTAAAAGATACACCAAACCCCAGTACCTTTTAGAATAATAAAAATTCATGAGAAAAGGAAATTCTCACATAAATATTATAATACCTAGGAATACACTTAATTATTAAAGTACAGAACTGACAAACTACATAAAATTTCACTGCATCTAAAAGATACCAATGAATACTGTCAATTACCTTAGTATCATCTCTACCTTCTTAATCCTGCCATCTAGAAACTTGGAATCTCTTCGACTGTAAAGAAAGATGGCACTTGATGTAGGCAGCTTGGGGCCTTTCCTACTAGTCAAAATGGGGATGATTCTGGACACGTCACTATATGTGAAAAATCTTACGACTATATTCTTACAATTCCATTTACCAATGACTGTACTTAACACAGAAAACATAATTATTAACAATTAACAATTTACTCTCACATCGATTAACTAATTTGATAATAGTCTCCAAGACCATTTTATGACCTGAATTTTCACATCACTACTACTTTCAGCCTTGCTCTCTGGCCACTACTAGTTCAGGCTCTTCCTGGCACACTGTCATATTCCCACTTGACTTTTGTCCACGTTATTCCAGTATTTTCTCCTACAAAGTATAGTTGATTTCTCAACTACTGAAAACATTTCCTCCAATGCTGTCATTTTGTTTTTTTGTTTTGGTGAGGCCTGTCCTGACCTCTTCTTTTCCTGCCCTGACACCGTTAGGCTACAGTGTTTTTTTTTTTTCTCTTAGCTTACTATATTTTTTATTACCAGAATGTTAAATCCGATGCCCATAGACTGAGCCTCTAGTGACTAGAACAGTGCCCATCCCAATGAAGATGCTCAAATACTTACTGAATGAACAATCATGTGAAACAGAATACTCTCGGATTTTACTTTATGAAAAGACTGAAGCAGTGAAAAGCGGTCACAGAGAAAAGTGCAAAAAAAGTTGATAAGCCAACTCACTCCACTCTTTATTGATGGTGCATTTCTCATTTATGTAGTGAATTCCAAAAGTACTTTTCTATTTTGACTATTTCCCTTATTAGATGGTTGCTTTTCAGCAGGCCACACTTCCTGGTCTTTGTTCTGAGTGGCAATCCTCAGTCCGTTACACACGTTTAAAATGGAATGAATGGATGGATGCATAAATGAATACATCAGCTACCAAGTCTTGCATGAGTAACAGCAACACAAGCGTTTTCAGTCATTAGTTACCTTCACTTTTATGTTTTAATATGAAAATAAATCCTGTCTTTAAAAAGTAGTAATGCGCCCCCCCCCAAAAAAAAGTTTCCCGAGTTCACAAAACCTTTCAGACGAATTTCTTAGTCAAATGGGCATGTACTCCATTCTACGACCTAGCTTAATTCGTTAAGCAGAAATCCTCTGAACCAGTTGCTGACTCACTTCGTTATACATCCATGCACAACGTTACCTCTGATGGCGCACGCCTTTAATCCCAGCACTCGGGAGGCAGAGCCAGGCGGATCTCTGTGAGTTCGAGGCCAGCCTGGGCTACCAAGTGAGTTCCAGGACAGGCGCAAAGCTACACAGTGAAACCCTGTCTCGAAAAACCAAAAAAAAAAAAAAAAAAAAAAAACTCAACAGTGCCTTTTTTTTTTTTGGAGCCACTGAAATATGCAAAATCAATCATGCCAGACACACCTTCGCCTATAGAAAATAACGCTGATGAGAACACACTCGGAAGCAACTCCGGGCCCGGGTGCTCTCTGGAGGGAGGCTGACAAATTCCATTGTAAGGCCCTGACTAACTTGCCACGGAACCGCGGCGGCCACGGATTTGTTTAGTGGTCTCTGGACACAGGGGACCGAGGCTGGAGAGCCTGGGCGGCCCCTCCCCCGCCCCATGCAAACCTAAGTAAGTCACAAAGACCCTGCTCCGAGTTCCTCACCGTGCTAGACTAGGGGGAGGCCACCGTGTCCCGAGCAGCGGCCGACGCGCACGCGACCACCAGGCCCCCCCGCAGCGCCGAGGCCGAGGACGCCCACGGCACCGGAGCCCACGACGCGCGCCTCCCGAACCCCCGCGCGCCTCCGGAGCAGCCCCGCCACAGGTCGAGCCGCAATCGCGTTTCTCGCGAGATCCCGCGTCCTCGCGGGCCTCCCGCGGACACCTCGCGGCCCCTCGGCCGAAGCGGGGCTGCTGCGGGGGTTCCCGGCCCCCTTCCCGCTCCCGCAGAGCCTCGACAAACCCCTCGGCCCACCCCGCCAATCGCAGGCCGCAGTCCCAGAGGCGGGCCCAGAGACTTCCGGAGGCCGACCGGAACCGGAAGCCGCCGGGGTGGGAGGGGCGGGGCCTTAGAAGAAATCAAAAAAAAAAGCGCGGCCACAGCTGGAGGTTGTGGCGGCGGGTGGCTGTGGCCCCTTCAACAGCACGGCGCCTCGGGATGGACTCCACCGCCTGCTTGAAGTCCTTGCTCCTGAGCATCAGTCAGTACAAGGCCGTTAAGTCGGAGGCGAATGCCACTCAGCTCCTGAGGCACTTGGAGGTAAGGGGTGGCGGGGAGCGAGTGGGTGCTCCCCTTGACTCATCCTGCGTCCCGGCGGGGCCAGCGAGTGGTGGCCTGGCCCAGGACAGCCCTGCAGCCCGCCGCTGTCCTTGCACTGGTGACGGCGACTGGGTGTGCGTGTTCGGGTGGGTGCCGAGAGGGGGGACGGTGGCCTGCCCCGTACCAGAAGGAGGACTGCCCTGGTCCCCAAAGATCCCCAGGTTTAGACTGTTTCTGGCCGGAGTGTGTGTGTGAGGAGATCCACGGGTTTGGGCTCTGTTTCTGACCGCAGTGCTGGAGACACTTTTTCTTTCCCACAACTTGGGTCGCGTGTATGTCTTTTATTGGTCTTTCTTTTAGGTGCCTATCTTCTATGTGCAATTTGTTTTCTTTTTTGAACATTGACTGGCTTCATTCACCCAATATATATTCAGGTTGCACGTACTACCAGGACATGTTTTTTTATGTTATGTGTAATTACGGTTATATAAGTGTACCACGGGTTATGTACATTTACTTGTGACTAGACATTTGGATATTTTTTTCCAGGTCTGGATGGAATTGTAAATAAGTGCATTCTAATCATACATTTTTATTTGATTTATTTTATCGTCTATTTGTTTCTTATACACCTACCAGTAGAGCTGTCGGGTTATAAGAAAGGCCTGTGTTCCCTTTTTTGTTGTTGTTTTTTTTTTTTCATTTGATTATGTGTGATGCATGTGCATATGAGTACAGGACCTTCAGAAGGCAGAAGAGGGTATTATATCCCCTGGAGCTGGACTTAAAGGCAGATTGTAGCATTTTACTTACTAGCAATATAGCGACACTACCATCATTCAACCATACCATCCTTAGTTCTTACTGTTTACCTGTTGGAGGGCAATATTATCTTTTTAGTGGTCGACGTTATTATATAGAGCACTGAAAACTATGTCTGAGGAGAAAGAAATACACAGCATGAGAAAGGGGATTTTTTTTCATTATTCTGAACTGCTGCTGCCATAGTTTGACTTTAGAACCCCACACAAAACCTGTACTTTGAGTCATTTCATGATTGGCAGGGCCAAGTTGAGCTACTCTAGTACTTGATGATGGTATTTTACATCACTGGCCATGTGACTAATTATTAAAAACATGGACTCAGCTCTTTGGAGTATAAATCTTCATTGTGCTTCTTTATCATCACTGTATGGCTTCAGTTTACTCAAATACAAATCAAATCAGTAGCACCTCTCTTACAGAGTTTGAAGACTAAAGAGAGCATATGTAAAGCACTTAGGTCAATGCCAAGGTCAGATTAAGTGCTATGTAAATATTATCACTAAAATAAACTAGTTTTCATTAGGAAAAAATTAATTTTTACCTTGTATTAACCAATTGCTATATGCTAGAATATTGAAATATAAATCCAGTTCCTGTCATATTTAAAACAGAAAATGTCTTCATATTCTAGACAGTTAAAATCATTAATAGATGAAAGAGACCATGTTCAGAAAGTTCTTGACCCCAAGAAAAGTTACCTATTTGTTGCCAGTCTTACAGACATTAACTAGTGTTAAATCATATTCTACTAGGGAATAGGTACTGGGAAATTCCAAGAGCAAAGCTTGGTAAGAAAGTAAGGAGATAGAAGGGAGAGTTATAATTAGAGGGTTACTAAGGCAGTCTGCTTAGATGTGACCTTTTTGGTTTTTTGAGACAGGGTTTCTCTGTGTAGCTTTGCGCCTTTCCTGGAACTCACTTGGTAGCCCAGGCTGGCCTCGAACTCACAGAGATCCGCCTGGCTCTGCCTCCCAAGTGCTGGGATTAAAGGCGTGCGCCACCACCGCCCGGCTAGATGTGACCTTTTTAGAGTATGACTATATAAGATGCATTAGTCTATTTCTAAAGTAAAAAATTGTTTGACTTTAAATACCAGGTTTATATTGACTCTCCCTCACTAGAACAACTAGATTGGAAAGTAAAAATTACTAAATCTTATCCTTGCTACATTTAAAAATATTCTTTATTAACTTTATTGTTTCTGCATAATCTCCTAACTTCTAGGCTCAGCCTGAAATCAGTTACTATCCATTAGGCTTCATATTCCATTCTCAGAGTAGATGAGATGACTATACTAGGCTTCAGAATAATAAATCTACTTGGTTCTCTTCCTAGTCAGGGTTTCTATTGCTGTGAAGAAACACTATGACCACGGGCACTCTTATAAAGGAAAACTTTTTTTTTTTGTTTTTGTTTTTGTTTTTTGAGAGGCAGGGTTTCTTTGTGTAGCTTCAGAGCCTGTCCTGGAACTCACTTTGTAGACCAGGCTGGCCTCGAACTCAGAGATCTGCCTGCCTCTGCCTCCCAAGTGCTGGGATTAAAGCCATGTGCCATCACCGCTCGGTAAAGGAAAACATTTAATTGGCGTGGATGGCTTACAGTTCAGACATTCAATCCATTATCATCATGGTGGGAAGCAAGGCAGCACGCAGGCAGACCTGGTGCTGGAGAACCTGAGAGTTCTTACTTGACCCACAGGCAACAGCAAGTGGTCTGAGATATTGGGCCTGGTTTAAGCATATATGAGACCTCAGGGCCCACGCCCACAGTATCACACTTCCTCCAACAAAGCCATACCTACTCCAACAAAGCCACACCTCTTAATAGTGCCACTCCCTATGAGTTTATGGGGGCCAATTACATTCAAACTACCAATGTTCTAGTGTACATTTTTAGTCTGTGTTCAGTATAGTATAGTATAGATAATTATAAATGTTAATCAGAAGTTCACTAATACATGAAAGAAATAATAGTATACTGTAAGGCTGTATAATAAGTAAAACTTAGGTCACCTAAGTGGCTTAGGGAAACATTTCTGGAAAAGGTAAACTTAAACTGAAATCTAGATAATTCAGCTGGAGAAGGAGAGAGCCTGTATGTGGGGAGAGAGAACAACAGGTGTGAAGTGTTAATTATCACTTCAGAAAAATGGTTTATTTGAAATGGAGAAGAAATAGAAAATTGCCAGCACTTAACACATTTGCTTCCTATTTTATAGGTAGTTTCTGGACAAAAGCTGACACGACTGTTTACATCACACCAGATATTGCCAAGTGAATGTTTGAGTTGCCTCGTAGAACTTCTTGAAGACCCAAACATAAGCGCTTCACTGATCCTAAGTATTATCAGTTTGCTGTCTCAACTGGGTAATGTGTTCATACCTTTTTTTTCTTTTTGAGTTGGGAAGACTATGAACTTAATTTTTTTAAAGATTTATTTATTTATGTATGTATGTAAGTGCTTTATCTGCATGTACACCTACACACCAGAAGAGGGCATCAGATCCCACTATAGATGGCTGTGAGCCAGCATGTGGTTACTGGGAATTGAACTCAGGACCTCTGGAAGAGCAGCCAGTGCTCTTAACTGCTGAGGCATCTCTCCAGCCTTGAACTTAATATTTTTAAAGGACAGATAGAATTATAGAATTTCTTCAAGAATGATTTACTTTCAAAAGATTTCTTCATTATAGAACCTTTTAGAGTTAGTCTTATGGTCCTCTCAAAGGAGTCCCTGAGTATATACTTATATACAGACACACACATGTATATGAATATATAAGTCTCATGTCTTAAAGACTTCCATGTTCTATAGAAAAGAATGCATATGGGAAAATGGCATTCTATTGAATTTTAAAACAACAAAAAGCCACATAAACATAATGCCACTGTTAAAGACAACAATCAGAAAAACATAACTACCAATCAAAAAATCATCCTTCTGTGGTAGACTATATTGAACTTAGAACCAAAGATAAACTATAATTGCTTTTTCTATTCCTTCTCTTTATGTTTCATTTTTAAATATTCATCTATTAGTAATTTTTTACCTTGATTTCTGTATGCACAGAGGTGTTGGATATTTTGGATAATCAGGTATGCTTAGTAATAAAGAAGCATTAGCAGAGAGCGGCATTGCATTGTTCAGTAGAACAATCAAAATATTGTGGTGCTAGAAATATTCTGATTTTGTATTGTCCCTTAGAGATGCCTTTTGCCCTATAAGCTTGTTAAACATTTGAAGTCTGAGGAGCTGAATCTAATTCTGATTAAATTTAATTTAAATAATTACACATTGACTAGTAGCTATCATATTAGATAACACAGATAAGAGTAAAATATCCTGAGGTGTTATTCCTTATCCCAGCTGTCTTTATCGTTTCTACCTTTAGGGGTACAATCTTAATTAATGGTTTGATATGTATCTTTCTGATTTAAATTATATATTTTTAAGTAGTAGACTTTATATTTTAAGTCTTTAGATTTATAAAAGAAGTTGAAATGATAATCTGATTGCATCTATGTAATCCAGGCTGACCTGGAACTCAAAATTCTCTTTTCTTATTCTCCATAGTGTGGATTACAGGCATATACCACCAACCTCGGCTGTTATATTGTTTTAACAGCCAAGTTTCTACACATATGTACAAAAAGGTTTTTTCCTTTATTATTAATTCTATGAGAAAAATTATTTGTACTTTGAAATTGGTTAACATTAATTAAAAAAAAAGTCTGTCTTGGCCAGCTATGGTGGCTTAATTTTGTAACCTCAGCATTCCTAAGGCTGAGACAGGAGGAACTGCCATGTGTTCCAAGCCAGTCTGGACTACAGAGTGAGTTCCTGATTCAAAAACTCAAAACCAAATAGCTATCTCATGTTTTATCTTCTTTAAAGATAACATTATATGACATAAAATTATTTAGCTATTGTGGAATGATTTCTGCATGTAAAAGTGATGTATTTTATGCCATTTTATTTTAACTTTCAGCTGTAGATACTGACACCAGAGACTGTCTTCAGAGTATATACAATCTGAATAGTGTGCTGGCAGGAGTGGTATGTCGGAACAGCACTTGCCACAATGATTCAGTGTTTTTACAGGTATGCAGCTCCTCATTGTATATTGCCACCTGTTTTCCCTTCTTTGTTCTCAGATAAGAACTGGTAAGATGTAATAGGCTTTCTTGGACCACCAGCCCCCAAATCTTGATACAGAGACTTATTACTAATTATAAATGATCAACCTTAGCTTTAAGCTTGTTTATAGCTCACTTTTTTTTCTTTAACTTAAATTAGCCCATTTCTATTAATCTGTGTGCTGTCCTGAGGCTCATTTACCTCATCTATGTAATATCCATCCTGCTTTCCAGCTTCCTTCGAGGCTGACTGGCTGGTCACCTGGTGGGCTGGACCCCTGGCTAGCTGGCTGACTGGCTCCCCTTTTCTCTCTGCCCACCAGCCCTGCCTATACCTCCTCCACTTAGCTGTTGGCCATTCAGTTTTTTATTAGACCTATCAGGTACCTTAGGCAGGCAAGGTAAAACGTTAACACATCTTTACACAGTTAAATAAATGCAGCATAAACAAAAGCAAGGCACCTTTACATAGTTAACCATTCTGCAACACAAACAGCACATCTGTGCATAGTTAAACAAATATTCTATTCCACAATAGTAAGACCTTTTATTGCTAAGTTACAGTTTGTATGATGACATGACATCATCAGGCTTAGTTCTTATTAAGAGCTAGTTGGACACATGCAGACTACGTAAATATTTCTCAAGAAGGGAACAGTGATAACCATATCTGTATCATCACCATTTTAACTTACAATACTATAACTTAAGGACACAGATGTGTACATTTTGAAATGCAAACTTAAAATTATAATTTGGGTTGGTATATAGTCTCAGGCTGTTAAAAAAAAATCTTACAAAATTTAAAGCTATGGTTTATACTTGTGTAGCATAATTTGAAAACTCTTGCACCCATCATTTTATTGAGTCTAAAATGTAATCAGCTGCAAGAAAGTAAAACATGACCAATTAAACTGACATGCACATATAGAGGGAAGAAGATATCCTCAAATTAATTCAACCCACACTCAAGGCAAATAGGAAGGGTAGGAACATGATCATATCTCAGATAAGACAGGAGAGATACTGGGACCAAGCTTGTTCCTTTATAACTTTCCTCTCTTGAGAACTACCAACAGGGTCACATGGGAAGTACATCATACCTCCAGTGACCTAAGAACCTCCATTCAGGCCCTAACTTCTTGAGGCTCTGCCACCTTCCGGTATACCATCCTGAGAAACTAAGGCTTAATCATAGGACCCACCCTGAGTGGACACAATTTGGTACCACTCAAACCATAACAGTGACAAGCCATGAGATAAAATATGTAGAGCTGGATAAATTATGACATGACTCCCAAGGTTCCTAGTAGTCCCATTACTTAGTATACATGTTTTGAAATAAAATTAAAGTTAAGAAATGGCATGGCTCTTGCTCTAGTGTTTGATTCCTAAAATGATGCGCCCCAAATACTTACATTAGTCCATTTTTATGCATAGGCAATATGTTTTCATGTGTATACTCACAATTATTTTCTTATTCTCAGTGCATTCAGCTCCTGCAGAGGTTAACATATAATGTCAAATTTTTCCATTCTGGTGCTCATATAGACGACTTAATTACATTCCTGATTGGTCATATGTAAGTATGCAGCAAAACATGTAATTGGATAATTTATTGGTTTATTTTTAAACTAAAACTAGATATAGATCATTTCTCCTTAGGCAATGTTTTCTAGCTTTAAAAAAACAAAAAAATGATTTATTCATTTATTTTTATGTGTATGTGTTGCACCTGAGTACATGTTTGTGGTACACCATGTATGTGCAGGTGCCTGTGGAGGACAAATGTGGGCTTCAGATCCTCTAGAGCTGTATGCAGGGAGTTGTATGCTGTTCAGTGTGGGTGCTGGGAGCTGAGCCCCAGTCCTCTAAAAGAGCAGTAAGTGCCCTTGCACCAGACTCATCTTACCAGCCCCAGCTTCATAGGTTTTTAAACTAAGATCACTGTTTTCTCCACTTGGGTGACTACAAGGGTTGAGTATCATAAAGCAGGTTTAATATTCATATGTAAGATTTAACAAATTGATTTAAAAAGAAAAAATTAATCAAGGTAAACATTGTATGCTCTTTATAGGTGAACTTCATAAAATATCATGATCATTCTGACAGTTATTTTTGTATTTCTGTGGCACAGTTGAATAGGATAATTGGGTTTCAAAGAGTAAATGAAATACTCAGTATTACTCAGAATTTGATAGTGTTATTTTTACATGCAAGAAAGAACTTAAGCATATTTACTACTCTTTGATTTTGACTAATTAGAGTGAACACCATGCTTTCTGTCTTTACAACAGTCAGTCTTCTGAAGATGAGTTAACAATGCCTTGTCTAGGACTATTGGCAAATCTTTGTCGGCACAATCTTTCTGTTCAAACACAAATAAAAACTTTGGTAAGTTGAGGGTTTGAGGGTGTGTGTGTGTGTGTGTGTGTGTGTGTGTGTGTGTGTGTGTGTGTGTATTTATTAGGTTCTGTTCCAAAGTTCTTCCAAGTTTTTCTCTTCTTTCTTTATTTCCAGTGCTGAGTGTGGAACCTAGGGCCTTACACATGCCATTTGTGTGCCTTTACTAAAAAAAAAAAAAATTTCTCCTAGATTCTATGTATATCAAATAGTCTTTTAATTTTTACCTATCTGTGTTGTAAAATGTCCCTTTAAAAAGTAATAATAATTTCCCTTTTAAAGGTAATAACTGTGTTGAAAAGTTCATAACAATAAGTTTATCCACTGTATACAGTTGTATTTTTTTCAATCAAAATGTAGGGCTTTTTTTTCCCCTCCAATTCATTTTCTTTTCTCCTACAGAGTAATGTGAAATCCTTTTATCGAACTCTCATAGGCTTCCTAGCACACAGCAGTTTGACTGTGGTTGTGTTTGCACTTTCAATATTATCCAGTTTGACGCTAAATGAAGAAGTGGGGGAAAAGGTAATCTTTTTCTATTTTGAAATTAATTTTGAGTCCCTGGTGTTTAACATTTTTAAAACGTTAAGATGTCAACTTATAGTTTCTTATGTATAATAAACTTTTCCCAATTTTTCAAAGCTATTTCATGCTCGAAACATTCATCAGACTTTCCAACTAATATTTAACATTCTCATAAATGGTGACGGTACCCTAACACGAAAGTACTCAGTCGACCTACTCATGGATCTCCTTAAAAATCCTAAAATTGCTGATTATCTTACCAGGTATGTTATTTATCACTAAGACATCTTTTCTTTTTAATTTTCAATTTTGTGTATATGAGTGTGGTGCCAGCATGTGTTTATGTGCACCACATTTGTGCCTGGTGCCTGTGAAAACCAGAAGAGGACCTTGGATTACTGGAACTGGAGTTAAAGACATGTGTGAGCTGCTATGTGGATACTGGGAATTAAACCAAGGTCCTGTGGTAGAGAGCACCCTTAATGGTTAAGCCATCTCTCCAGCTCCAAAACATTTTTGTTTTGTCTCCAGATATTTCTTGTCACTTACATTTTGAAAGTCCATAGCATTTACTTTCAAAGAGTTCGTTGCATTAGAGTCTTTGTCTTTATTTTCAGTATTTTCTTGCAGTTTATTTTTATTTTATATATATGGGGTTTTTCCTGCAGGTATGTGCACCATGTATGTGCCTGGTCCTTGTAGAGGCTAGAAGAAAACATCAGAACCTCTGAAACTGGAGTCATGGGTGGTTGTGAGCTACCCAATATGGGTGCTGGGAACTGACCCCCTGCTCCTTTGGAAAAGTAATACTCATCCTTAACCACTGAACCATTTCTTCAGACCTTGACTTTAGCATCTCAATTTAATTTTCTCAATGCTTAAATTGTGTTGGGATCTTAAGAAATTGGTTCAAATAATTAGTGACTCATCTCCAAATAAGAAAACATTTATTGAGCGCCTACATTGTCCAAGCAGTGAGAAACAAAGGAGTCCTAGCAGCAGCAGGATGTTAAATAATTCCTGATTTTCCATGAACAAAATAGACCTAAGGACTAGGGCAAGATTAACCTTGGGTAGCTGAACTTCTGCTAAACAAGACACATTCGCTTCAGCATTTCATCTTTTTTCCTAAACATCTGTGATGCAAATGAGTATCAAGTCTGTGTCATAGATAATGGCATCTTTTCCTTCAGAGTACCTTCCCTTTACCTGGCCTATTTTCATCTGTTGTGAGTGTCAGAATATCCATGTGTATCTATTCTAGCTGTCACGTAATGCCTACTTAAAAGCTTTATAGTAAATTGAAATTATCTTTTGGATATTTTCTCAGGAGACAGAAAGATGACCATGTGTAGCATCAGTGTGAGATGACTTAAAACTCCTTTTAGTCTCTCAGCTGTGTTCTCCTTCACCGTTCTGTACAGTGGCTCCCCAAGAACCATGTCCAGCTTGTCTTGTCTCACGACCATACCATTTGTTACGACCTCAATCCTGAATCTGTTTCGGAGTCTAGCAATGTTGGGTTTCTACCAGATACGAGAAAATCCCACAGCTTTACCTGGGCCAGACCCCTTTTCTTTATTCTGTCAGCTTCCTTTCTTGACTCCTACAATGTCTCATTCAAATATGCATTGCTTTATTTTACTGCCTTTCATGCACAAGCTCCCTTTATCTTTATTTCAGATACAGGGAAAACAAACTAAGAATGCCATTTGCTTAGAGCTCCTCCTTATTTGCATGCCTAGACAAACTTGTTTCTACACATTCCTTCTTAGTTTTGTCCTGATTTTTTACGCTGTGCTGTAAGTCTCATTCTGTCATCGTCAGCAGAATAGATTTCCTTTCCATTCAGTGCTTCCTATTCAGTTGTCACTTCTTTTTACCTGTACATGTGTTCAAGCATTAACTTGTCTTTCAACCATTATGTTTCTTTGATAGTGTTCAAGGTAAATACCCAAATCTAAGCTCTGGCCACATAGCAGCTTTATTTCTTAACCCTTGCAGTGCTAGACAGTGGCTGGAAGCTGCAGCTAAAAGTCAGCACCTTGAATCATGGTGGTAAACAACCAGTCAACTATAATGTACTGTGTTGCTGTGTTCTGATAAGTCAAAAGATTGGGTGGTAGAAAATACATTTTTCACATGTAATTTAAGTTGAGATGAGTTTATTGGTATAAACTATGTCATAAATCAAGGAATATTTATGTAAACATTATAAGCACATTTGTTGTATGAATATTTATTTGAGAATTTCATGCATGAGTATAATATATTTTGATCAAATCTACCCTCTTTCCTTTGTCTACAATTCTTCCCCCTTTGTCACTTTATGTACACCTTTAAACCTAGGTATGAACACTTCTCTTCATGTCTTAATCAAGTACTAGGGCTTCTAAATGCGAAAGACCCTGATTCTTCTTCAAAGGTATGTAAAAGCATGACATTTTGTTTGAGACTTTTTCTTTTTCTGGTTTTTCGAGACAGGGTTTCTCTGTGTAGCTTTGCGCCTCTCCTGGAACTCACTTGGTAGCCCAGGCTGGCCTCGAACTCCCAGAGATCCGCCTGGCTCTGCCTCCCGAGTGCTGGGATTAAAGGCGTGTGCCACCACTGCCCGGCTTGTTTGAGACTTTTAAAGGATAAAATGTACAGGAAAATCTTAAGTTTACTGCTCTGCAGATTTAGAATATGCTCATACTCATGTAACCAGTGTTGAAATCAGAATGAGAGCATTACAAAGTGGAAGCTACTTTAAATTTTTCTTTTAGAATATTTTCTTTAAAATTGTAGGGCATTTTTAGTGTCGTCATATGCTTTGTCTGTTAAAGCCCAATGAAGTTGGTATTTAATGAAGACTTTACATTGCACAGGTTTTAGAATTACTTCTTGCATTCTGTGCAGTGGCTCAGCTGCGCCATGTGCTCAGTCAGATGATGTTTGAACAGTCTCCATCTGGCAACAACATTCTGGGAAGTCGTCCTAAGAGCTTAGAACCCACTGTGGCTCTACTTCGTTGGTTAAGCCAACCTTTGGATGGATCTGAAAACTGTTCTGTTTTAGTACTGGAGTTGTTCAAGGAAATCTTTGAGGTAATGAAATAATTGACAAATGGACTTTTCTACTTTCATGATGCTCACTTAACAATTTGTTTTATGACACTTTTGTGTAAGCCTCCAATTGTTCACACATGGGATAAAATTGACAGTTATAAACCAGACTGTCTATAATTCAACTACTGAGGTTTTTTTCCTGCAAACTTACATGTATTAGCATTTTCTATGTTTATACTGAATGCTTTGTATGTATTTTCTTACATAACTACATACATACAGTTTCTTAAACTATAATTTATTACACAATATTTATATGATTTCTTGTGTGGATACATGTGCTTTGGTTGTTTTCTCTATGTCACATTTTGTCTGCTGCCTTTTATTAATTCTGTAAAATATTGGTCCTAATTAGTGAAATAAGGCAGCATGCAGATTCAATGCACTTAGTAGAATGAAGACAAATAATCTTGATCTGTAGATTATGCTACTAGGCAATTTAGCATTTTCTGCTGTTCACCTGCTTTTATACTCATTCAGCCTGTCCAGTTTTCAAAATTATTTTTCAATCTCATAATTGGATCCTATACACAAATATGTATATGAGTGATCAAGCCTGTTCATTAAAATTTATGTATAAACTGCTTTTTTTATTTTATTTTTCTTGGTCCTGACTGATTTTAGCATGTATAAAACCTTTGAAATTATTTGTGGTTTTACACTATTAAAGTCGGTCTCTTATTATTTAATTGCATTTAGCAAATTCAGGTATTGTCATTAAATATTAAACATATTTAGAATATTACTTAAATCATGGAATCCTTAAAATGCATTTTTTATAATGTTATGTCTTCATTTGTAGAATGAAGCCAGACTAAGTCTGAAAACTGGCTAAAATGGTAAAATGTCGTTTTAAAATAGAAGACTTGAATAAATGGAATATTGAAATAAATGTTAAAAATTGAAAGAATATGTTATAGTTTAGTAAAGACTGTTTTATGTTAATATGTTCCATCTTTATTTTCAATTATTCTTGATGGTAAATTTTCTAGGATGTCATTGATACTGGTAACTGTTCCTCAACTGACCGTTTTGTGACCCTTCTGCTGCCTACAATCCTTGATCAGCTTCAATTCACTGAACAAAATCTTGATGAGGCCCTAATAAGAAAAAAATGTGAAAAGATGGTCAAAGCCATTGAAATTTTATTAAATATCCTTTACTATAATGTAAATGAAAAGTATAAAACCTCCAATTTTTGTCTCTATTTGTAATCTTATAATTTCTCATATAGTATCAGAAATAATGTACCAAGGGACTGGGGAGATAGCTTAGTCAGTAAAATGATTCCCTTGAGAGTATGCAGACCTGATTTCAGTCCCCAGCAACCATATGAAAATGTCAGGCAAGCCTGATTGTGTGGGCTTATAATCATAGGCCTGGATAAGCAGAGACAAGCCTAGGGTTTGCTGGCCAGCCATCTACCTAATGGATGACCTACTGTCCATGAGAAACCCTGCTCAAAGTGGACAGACTATGGTTCTGAGAATGACACCCTAGGTTGTGCTTTGGCCTCCATATGCGTGTGCACACGTGTGTGCACACCTGCCCACAACATGTAGGAATATGCACTTACATAGCCAGAGAAAGGATATTGAACTGAAAATTAAAGTTTCAAGGACACCTGAAAATTTTTCCAGTTTGCTTTTTCTGTATTTAATTTATGTTTAAGTACTTTAAGAACTCATTATTTTCTTCTAGATACATCTTTGAGTATATGTGTGCATGTGTCCACTACAGAGGATCAAACCAAGCACCTCAATAGTAGGTCAACGCTTCTACTATTGAACTACATTCCCAACCCAATAAGAACCCATGTTCTTAAAACATGACCATTTTTAAATTACAGTTTGAGCTTTGAAGGTGTATGCTGAGTTGGCTCCTCATAACTCTCCTGCAGTTTTAATGCCTGTTGCTGCTCCTGTGAGTCTTTGGTTGATGTATTGGTCCATAAGCAAATACTGATATAGTTTTCATGATTTTAGCCCCCATTCTCTGTGTTTATGATTGTTTTATCTACTCATGTGTTTCTTACATGTAGCCAAGGTCAAAAATCACTGCTGTAGAGGCATGCAATTGCTCTGTTTAACCTTAAAGGTGTTTCATAACTTGGCCCTTTTTTCCTGATATTCATAGAAATTTATAAAGTATGAGAATATAACTCCTCATAATTCATCCAGTGTTTATTGAAACATTTTCATCACTGCTAACTGATTAAATAAATAAACATCCAGTGAAGAAATATCCTTTTTCTGGTTTTACCGTGCATCAAATACTTCTGTGAGTCTATCTCTTGCTATTTACTTAATACTTTTTTTTTTTTTTTTTTTTTCTTGGTTTTTCGAGACAGGGTTTCTCTGTGTAGCTTTGCGCCTTTCCTGGATCTCACGCTGTAGACCAGGCTGGCCTCGAACTCACAGAGATCCGCCTGCCTCTGCCTCCCGAGTGCTGGGATTAAAGGCGTGCGCCACCACCGCCCGGCTTACTTAATACATTTAAGTTCCACTTTTCTCACATGTCTTAAAGCAATTAAAATAATTACACTGGATTGCAGTGATGTCAGAGTTGTTTGAAATTATCCTAAATGTTACAAGTTATATATAGCTACACACTATATACCAAGTATTTGGATTTCTGTGTACCTTAACCAAACTTAACCTCTGTGTGGAGATGACACTCTGAAAATGCACATTGTAAAAGTATTGACTACTATAAAGTGTACCACGCTGATAGAACAACAGTTTACATATGGCAAGATTGACCTGGGATTTGGAACAAAGGTGGCAGATTCTGAATTGTGGTGAGTATTTCAAGTCCAAAATGCATACTGGCTAAAGGCAGTAAAAGTTATAAAATATAGTTATCATATTCAAAGATCTTCCCTAACTATGTTCCATTAACTGAAAGGATAGCTGGAAATTGTTAAATTTTGAATTACAAATTCAATTTATGGATTGCATACTTCTGAAAGGTTTTGACATCTGCAGTTTATATTTCATTAGGACTTATTTTTTCTCTGCATGCATATGAAAGAGAAGTTACAGATTCTGAACATTTCTCTTCTGAAACTTCCTTTTGACATTTCCTTGGTAATTTAATTTTTGCTTCATTTAATCTTACATTTTTAAAGAGAAAAGCGTGACAAAATGGATGGTTTCATTACCAGAAAGCCAATCCCTGCTGAAAGCTTCTTAATAACAAAGACAACTTCTCTCTTCTCCTTCATACATCAGAGCTTTGGTTAAAGGTGGATGTTCCCAGAGTAATGAGCAGTTTATTTATGCCCGCTCCCTCTTGTGAGCAACTTTTCCTAATGAATATTTATTGAAACCTGATAAGTGCCAAACCCTATCATTTGTTCCCATTTCCGTAAATAACTGTCAGCAGTTGTATTCTTGAAGAACAAGAATTACCTTTTCACTTTTAAATTGTGTGTGTGTGTGTGTGTGTGTGTGTGTGTGGTCGCTTGGCCACAGCATAGGTGGATGTCAGAACAACCTGTGGGAGTTGGGCTTTCTCCTTCCACTATGTAGGTCCTGTGGGTTGAGCTTGGGTCACTAGGCTTGGTGGGAAGACCCTTACTCACTGGACCATCTCACCAGTCCTCCTTTAAACATTTCACTCCCTTTCAGATGCAAAGTAAAGTGAGTGCATGGTCTTGTATAATTCATTCTCTATGTAATAGGTTTTCTTATGTTTTTGTTTTTAATTTTAGACAGAGTTGGTTTTAGAAACAGTTGCTAAGAATGAAATGAGCCACATTCTAAATGCTTGTACTTAATTGAGCAGAAATTTGAACCATATTGGTATTTAAGAGTAGATAACAGTCTGAAACTTATATTCAGTACTAGTTCTTTCTGGAATTTTAGTACTAAAAATACTAATTTTTTAAAATATTTTAATTCTTAGAAGTAATACTTTAATCTTCTTGTTTTAAAAACAAATTTGTTAGATTTTTCATTTACTTTAGAATTAGAAACAAAAATATGCTAATTTTCTAGTTATCTAATTTAAATGTGACTTTTATTTTTAAAGCAAACTTGCTGCTGACGTAATTTTGAAGACTCTTAATTTGATGAACAAACTAAAACAATTGGTTCCTGGTATGGAAGTAAGCTTCTACAAAATCCTTCAGGTAACTTGAAACTTTTCACACATTTAATTATCATATGATTCTTTGTATGTATGTGTATACTTATGATGTATATTTACGTAGTCTTGTGGTACATTTATGTATAGATACATGTGTGGGCATGCATGTGGAAGGTCAGTGTCAAGTGTTTTCTTCAATTGCTTGTTATCTTTTATATCTTTGAGTTAGAGTCTCACTGTCTTGGACCTCACCAATTCAGCTAGGCTGGCTGATCAATGAGCTCTAGAGATCCACCATTCTGTGTAGGTACTGAGGCTTGAACTCAGCTCCTTTGTCTGAGCAGCATTTCTAGCTCCTCTACCTTGGTTTGTAATAATGCTCTTTTGTTTCTTTCTTGATTTCTTGTTTGTTTGTTTGTTGAGACAGCATATCACCATGTAGGCCAACTTGACTTTGAACTCACCTTTCTCCTGCCTTGACCTCCTAAGTGCTAGGATTACAACCCCTGCACCATGCCTATCTTAAGTATTTCTGCTTTAATATTGTACATCCTTAGAGGATATTTTTCTTAGAATTGGCCATGAGAAAAAACTTGACAGTTGTCTTTTTAATTAGAATATTCTCATTATATATCTTAGAAACTAAATCTAACTTCCTCCAGGTTCTAAGGAAATAGTTTCCCAGCATTTCCTTTCATTGTTTGTACTTGTAGATTTCTTGATTTATGTTGACATTGGGAAAGACTCCGTGTGTGCGTGCACGTGTGTGTTTATACACCTATGAGAGACACATGTATGACGGCCTAAGGATGACTTTGAGTATAATTCGTTAGGCTCTGTTCAGCTTTTTTTTTTTTTTTTTTTTTTTTTTTTTGACATGGGGTCTCTTCGCTGTTCTGGACCTCACTAAGTAAAGTAGGCTGATGGCTAGTGAGCTGCAGGAATCTGTTCTTCTGCCTCCCCAACAGGGGGTTTATAAGCATATACTCAGCTTGTTGTGGCTTCTCTGTATTAAACTCAAATTTACTAACTGGGCCATCTTCCCTAGGTGAGCTTTTAATTTTGATCAAAGTTGGTGATATGAAATAGTAAGGAGATAGAAAACATCTGAAAGGGACTGATTAGATTTGTGTGGGTGTGCTGAAAATAGCACTAGCTTACAAGTTTCAATGATAGTAGCTGAAAAGTTTTAGATGTTATCAGAAAGCAAAATTACAATAGACTTAGTTTAAAGATTTAATTCCTACTCGCCATTCCTCTACCACTAACCCAAGACTTAAGACATGGTATGTAAGTACTCCTTTACAGGGCTACACTATCAGTTCTCATTTGGTCTTCAAGATTAGGGGACATCTAGTTTTGTAAAATTCGTGAGTGTTCTTAGCTGAGCTGGAGGAGGTGAGTTTTATAGACAGAAAAAGATTCATCATAGACGAGTGTCCCTGTCCATTACTTCCCTATAGGAGAAAGGTCTTTCTATGCTACTGTAATCTGCTTTGCTTGTTCTCGGAAAAATGGAGCTAGAGTTGTTTGATTATGTAGTATTTAGGCCAAAGAACTTCATTCTGTTTTTTTTTCTGGTTTTCTTTGTTTAATACAGGGTTCAACATTAACCATGTTAATTATCTATATTGCCTAGTTTATAAGAGTTATTTAACAAAAATGCAAAATTATTTTTTCTGAATTAAGCTTAGGAAGCATGACAGTGAATGTTCAGATAGAATGGAAGCCGAGTTGAACCCATAGGTAGTGACCATGGGCTCAATAAGAGCATTTTTATAATTCATAGTTGGCTGAACTAGTTGCTTGTCAGTGTAGGCTTGAGCACATAATTTTCTGTCTTTGTACTTCAGTTACATTTACTGCAAATAGTGATTCTCCTCTCTGGGAGAAATGTGAAGGGATTCTTTTGAGTTGTGAAGGTTGAATTATGTTTAAGTACCTACAAAGCATTTAACATCTTAATTATAAAGGCCTTACTACTAATATTTTCTTCATTAATAGTTTTTCTTTAAAGAATTGAGTGAGGACTGGGGAAATGGCCCCAATGAGTAAAGTGCTTAAAGTTTAGATCCTCAAAACCCACATTAAAGATGAGTGTGACAGAGTACATGTGTATCCAGCACTGAGAGACAGACAGCAGGCTCCAGAGGCTTTCTGACTAACTGGTCTAGCCAGTTGATGAGCTCCAGGTTCCGTGAGAGACTCCATCCTAAAAAATAAGGTGGAAAGCAATAGAGAAAGATATCTAACATAGACCTCTGGCCTCTATACCTGCGTACATATACAAAACACACAAAAAAGCAAGTCATTTTTTTCACTTCAGTTTTTAGATGTTTTTCATAATAGGTGATTTTAGAGCTTATGGGCCTAGTGTGAAATACTGACATGAGGAACTTTAAAATGTACTGCTTTGCAATTCCACTAAAATCAGGAACGAGGCAAGGCTGTCCACTCTCCCCATACTTATTCAATATAGTACTTGAAGTTCTAGCCAGAGCAATAAGACAACATAAGGAGATTAAGGGGATACAAATTGGAAAGGAAGAAGTCAAGCTTTCCCTATTTGCAGATGACATGATAGTATACTTGAGCGACCCCAAAGATTCCACCAAGGAACTGATACAGCTTATAAACACCTTCAGCAACATAGCAGGATACAAGATCAACTCAAAAAAATCAGTAGCCCTCCTATATACAATGGACAAAGAAGCGGAGAAGGAAATCAGAGATACATCACCCTTTACTATAGCCACAAATGACATAAAATACCTTGGGGTAACACTAACCAAGCAAGTGAAGGACCTATATGACAAGAACTTTAAGTCCCTGAAAAAAGAAATTGAAGAAGATGTCAGAAAATGGAAAGCTCTCCCATGCTCATGGATAGACAGGACTAACATAGTAAAAATGGCAATCTTACCAAAAGCAATCTACAGATTCAATGCAATCCCCATCAAAATACCAACACAATTCTTCACAGACCTGGAAAGAATAATACTCAACTTCATATGGAAAAACAAAAAACCCAGGATAGCCAAAGGAATCCTGTACAATAACACAACTTCTGGAGGCATCACGATCCCTGACTTCAAGCTCTACTATAGAGCTACAGTAATAAAAACAGCTTGGTACTGGCATAAAAACCGACATGTGGACCAATGGAATCGAATTGAAGACCCTGACATTAATCCGCACACCTATGAACATATAATTTTTGACAAAGAAGCCAAAAGTGCACAATGGAAAAAAGAAAGCATCTTCAACAAATGGTGCTGGCAAAACTGGATATCAACATGTAGAAGGCTGCAAATAGATCCATATCTATCACCGTGCACAAAACTTAAGTCCAAGTGGATCAAGGACCTCAACATAAATCCAGCTACTCTGAACCTGCTAGAAGAGAAAGTAGGAAGTAGTCTTGAACGCATTGGCATAGGAGACTACTTCCTAAATAGAACACCAGTAGCACAGACTCTGAGACAAACAATCAATCAATGGGACCTCTTGAAACTGAGAAGCTTTTGTAGAGCAAAGGATACAGTCAACAAGGCAAAGCGACAGCCTACAGAATGGGAAAAGATCTTCACCAACCCCACATCTGACAGAGGACTGATATCCAGAATATATAAGGAATTCAAGAAATTAGACATCAAAATGCCCAACAGTCCAATTAAGAAATGGGCTATAGAACTAAACAGAGAATTCTCAACAGAGGAAACTCAAATGGCCGAAAGACATTTAAGGAACTGCTCAACATCCCTAATCATCAGGGAAATGCAAATCAAAACAACTCTGAGATACCACCTTACGCCTGTCAGAATGGCTAAGATCAAAAACACTGAAGACACCTTATGCTGGAGAGGATGTGGAGCTAGGGGAACTCTCCTCCACTGCTGGTGGGAATGCAAGCTTGTACAACCACTTTGGAAATCAATATGGCGCTTTCTTAGAAAATTGGGAATCAATCTCCCCCAAGATCCAGCTATACCACTCTTGGGCATATACCCAAGAAATGCTCAACCACACCATAAGAGCACTTGTTCAGCTATGTTCATATCAGCATTGTTTGTAATAGCCAGAACATGGAAACAACCCAGATGCCCTTCAACTGAAGAATGGATAAACAAAATGTGGTACATATACACAATGGAATACTACTCAGCAGAGAAAAACAATGGCATCATGAGGTTTGCAGACAAATGGATGGATCTAGAAAAAATCATCCTGAGTGAGGTAACCCAGACTCAGAAAGACAAACATGGTATGTACTCACTCATAGCAGGATACTAGACATGAAACAAGGATGACTTGTCTGCTACTCACATCACCAGGGAGGCTACCTGGAAAACAGGACCCCAAGAAAGACACAGGGATCGCCCAATGACAGAGAAATGGAATGAGATCTACATGAACAGCCTGGACATGAGTGGGGGTAATGAAAGGCGAGGGTCGAGGGAAAGAGAGCTTGGGGGAGCGGGAGATCCCAGCTGGATCAACAACAGAGAGGGAGAACAAGGAATAGGAGACCATGGTAAATGAAGACCACATGAGAATAGGAAGAAGCAAAGTGCTAGAGAGGCCCACAGAAATCCACAAAGATACCCCCACAACAGACTGCTGGCAATGGTCGAGAGACAGCCTGATCTGACCTACTCTGGTGATGGGATGGCCAAACACCCTAATTGTTGTGCTAGAAACCTCATCCAACTACTGAGGGATCTGGATGCAGAGATCCATGACTAGGCCCCGGGTGGATCTCTGGGAGTCCAATTAACGAGAATGAGGAGGGTTTATATGAGCGAGAATTGTTGAGACCAAGGTTGGATAAAGCACAGGGACAAATAGCCAAATGAATGGAAACACATAAACTATGAACCAATGGCTGAGGGGTCCCCACTGGATCAGGCCCTCCGAATGGGTGAGACAGTTGATTGGCTTGATCTGTTTGGGAGGCATCCAGGCAGTGGGACCAGATCTTGTGCTCATTGCATGAGTTGGCTGTTTGAAACCTAGGGCCTATGCAGGATTGTTTGGCTCGGCCTGGGAGGAGGGGACTAGACCTACCTGGACTGAGTCTACCAGGTTGATCTCAGTCTGTGGGGAAGGCTTTGCCCTGGAGGAGATGGGAATGGGGGGGGGGGGTTGGGGGGAAGGTGAGGGGGACGGGAGGGGGGAGAACAAGGGAATCCGTGGCTGATATGTAGAACTGAATTGTATTGCAAAATAAATTAAAAAAAAAAAAAAGAAAAAAAAATGTACTGCTTTGATCTTTTTTATTAATTAATTATTTTTTTTTTTTTTTTTTTTTTTTTTTTTGGTTTTTTCGAGACAGGGTTTCGCTGTGTAGCTTTGCGCCTTTGCTGGAACTCACTCTGTAGCCCAGGCTGGCCTCGAACTCACAGAGATCCACCTGCCTCTGCCTCCCAAGTGCTGGGATTAAAGGCGTGCGCCACCACCGCCCGGCTTGGTCATTGGTTTTCTAATTTGCATTCATTAGTTCAAATTTTTATTTGATGGTTTTAATTTAGAAATTATTGGCCATTCCAAGTTTTCATTTATTAGAAATAAAGCTATCTAAATACCATTTGATTTTGAACAATTTAAATTCATCAAACTATTTAAGTCATAATTCTGATAGGCATAATTTAAAACATGAAACCTTTTGCTGGATATTTCTTAGTTTCTCTATGGATTGCAATACAGTATAAATTGCTATAAGGTGGTAAAGTATATATATATATATATATGCAGGCATCAGGTAGGAGTAATTTAGAATACTCTTACCTTTGACTAAAGACTCAGCAGTATGTGAGTCTTACTTGCTGCCTCTTACTTGCTGGTTTCTGATTTGTTTAGGATCCACGTTTGATTACTCCTTTGGCTTTTGCTTTAACATCAGATAATAGAGAACAAGTACAATCTGGATTGGGAATATTGCTGGAAGCTGCTCCACTGCCAGATTTCCCTGCCTTAGTGTGAGTTGTGTTCATATGCAGTATCTCTTAATACAGTTAAAATGTCATTCTGTGTTTCTTCATAATCCTCCATGCATATTTATTAATAAATTAGTGAACTGCAGATTTTATTGTAATTATCAGTAATCTTTCAAATAATTAAAATTCTGATTCCTGTAATGGAAAAGGACAAAGAAAACGTAGATGCAGGTGATTTATCATGTTCTTTTGTCTCTTAATCACTTCTTCTGATCATGGATTCTAGACACTGAAGCTTGAACCAATTGCTTTAGTTCCTTTTGTAGAAAGAACTTTTCCTTTCTGGTTCATTTGCTAAGGAGTCCTAAGAACTACATGAACTCAGACTAAGCTGGGAAAGATCAGTGGGGGAGAGGGGGAATACTGAAATATTAAGTGTTTTATCATAAGATGGAGTAGATGATGGCCAGGCCAAAAAAATTTACTATATTCTTTCATTTCAGATAATAGTATACTGAAAATGCCGTGCACTTTTTTTTTTGTTTTGTTTTAAATTGAGTTTGTGTGTCAGGGGAAGACAATATGTAAACTGAATGGTTACTACAGTCTACTTGGGATTTAATTTTTAGAACTTTAGAATAAGTTTATATAATAGAATTTGTAAAAGTCACTTAAGTAATTGAATCTAGAGGTCAATAAGCAGGCCAGTGAACAAGCTTTTGCTTTGTAAATAGTTTATTACACCAAAACCACACCATTCATTTTACTATCATCTCTGTTATCTGTGCTGCTTTCACTCTCTAAATGTAAGAGATGAGTTTGTTAATCCATGCTGTCTGTTGTTAAGTGACTTTAGTTGCATTTTGCAGAATTACTCATGTACATAGTCATAAATTAAAAGTTAAAGAACTGTTGAGCTAATATCTGTAGCTGAAGTTTTCCTGTGTCCCGCCTGGCCCATAGTCAGACAAATCTCTCCCACATGCAGGTCCTGCAGCTGCTCGGACCCAAGGAAACACACGGAGGCTTATATTATTTAAAACTGCTCAGCCATTAGCTCAGGCCTACCACTGACTAGCTCCTACACTTAAACTCAGCCCATTTCTGTTAATCTATATGTCGTCATGTTTTCTGTGACTTTACCATGCTGCTCTCTGGATGGTGGGCTGGCATCTCCTGACTCAGTCTTCCTCTTCCCAGAATTCTCCTTGTCTGCTTATCCTGTCTATACTTCCTGCCTTGCTACTGGCCAGTCATTGTTTTATTAAACCAGTGTACAAAAGCATTATCCCACAGCAAATATCTATGCCAAATATCCATGCAATAAGAATTCTACTCCTTACTTTATGTGGTAGTATTGGTTTGGAGGGAAAAAGCAAACTCAGCTTCACACATGGTCTAATAAATATTTTTAATAAAAAAAAAAAACACACACAACAACAAACCCAAGCCAAAAAGTTTAAAATTTTGACAAATATGTTTACCAAAATATTTTTTTATTTTTGATATTATAACATAAATACATTTCTCCCTTTCCTCCCTCAGAGCCCTCTCATACACCACTCCCTACCTGCAATTCATGGTTTCTTCTTTCATTAATTGTTATTGCATGCATATATGTGTTGTGTTTGTGTATGCGTGCATATATGTATTTGTTTTTATATGGACATGCCAAAGTGGACCAGGAAAGGCCCACAATATCTCAGCCCTACACAATGAACTAATCTTGGAGTGGGTGAGAACCTAGATAGTGGGGAGAGTAGACAACCCAGAGACCTAGAGTAAAACCAAATACTTCCGTTCATTTTAAAAAATTACAAAAAGGCAGCAGTGAAATGATTCCTGATGCCATTCTGCTATACTCATAGATCAGTGTCTTGTTCAGCCCTCACCAGAGAAGCTTCCTCCTGTAGCAGATTGGAACAAATACAGATATAGAGACCCACAGCCCGACAGTATGCAGAGAGTGAGGAGTGAGAGACCTTGAACACTCAACCCTAACCAGGATGTCTCCATCAAATCCCTCCCCTCAGGGGTAAGGGAACCTGTAAAAGAGGACACAAAAAGAGTGTAAGAGCCAGAGGGATGAAGAACACCATGAAAACCAGGCCCTCTAAATCAACATGATCAAAGCTCATATGAACTCACAGAGACTGAGGCAGCCTGTACAGTCTACATTAAGTCCTCTGTTAATACATTTTAGCTTCCAGTTTAGTGTTTTTATGGGACTCCTAAGTGTGTGAACAACTGGGATTCTGATTCTTGTGTGTTTCCTTGGGCTCTTTTCCTTCTGTTTGTTTGTTTTGTCCAATTCCAATGTGTTAGTTTTTGTTTTATCTTACTATATTGTTATTACTAAAAAAAAAATTTAAAGGTTCATATAATGTCCACCACTATGGAGAGGAGTAGCTAATTATTTATATTACATAGGGCATTAATGATGACCTCTCTGGAGAGGTGAATTTGAACCAAGATCTTATGGTAAGATGGAATCAACCTTCTTCTGATAGTTTCAGATAAAGGAACAACTCATCCAAAGGCCTTGAGACATAAACAGGATTGGCTTTTAGTGGAGCAGAATAGAAATAAAATTGATGAGAATATACTGTATGAGAAAAAGGTCAGAGGAGAGTATAGATGGGACCAGGTGATATCATCTAAGATAAGAAGGTTGTTCTGAGTAATACAGTAACTTTGTACTCATTGCAAATACTCTACACTCACTAACTAGTGCTAGAATGCCTCCAAACCAAATATGGAATTGTCACATATATTAAGTAGAAAAGAGTCCTCAGGAAAATTGAGAATGTTTCCCCAAACTGCTTTATTGTGGTTACCAAAAATGATTTCCAATATATTTCAAGACGTATAGTCCCCAAAGAAGACTCATTTCAAATACTACCATAGTTCTATAACAACTCTCTGCCTTTTGCTCTGTTTTTATGATTGCTTTTTCTTCCTGACTCTTATTCAGACTTGGAGAAAGTATAGCAGCAAACAATATATACAGACAGCAAGAAACTGAGCATCTGCCCAGGAAAATGTCTTTGCAGCCCTTAAATCACTATTTTCCAGCATCAGCAAAGTGCTTAACACCACCTCTTTCAAAAGATAATGCTCCTTTGAACATTGAGGAGCTAATAGAAAAACTTCAGGCCGGAGTGATGGTGAGTGAGAAGTAGCACTGTAAATGGGCTTGTGCTTGGTACTGGCCAACTGTCAGCTCTGATTATAGCATTTGTTTAAACAACTACAGATGCAAACTTTATCCTTTGACATAAAAAGTAAAATCTGGATGTTTTTCAAAGAAAAGAAACAGTATAAAATTTAAACACTTTTTTAAAGCACAGCTGTCATTCTTATTCTAGCCTCCTTCCTGACTGCCCACCATATGGCTTTTAAATCAGCGTATGAATACTGAACCTTGCTGAGATAGCCAGATTAGTGAAATATTTGTAACCCACCTGAAAGAACATATATTTTTACTCTTCAGCTTTAATGATTTAGTTGCAAAATAGTTTGATTTTTCTTTTGTCAAATTTACAATTTTCTAATTTTAACTCTATAAAACCAGGTGAAGGATCAAATTAATGATATAAGAATATCTGACATAATGGATGTTTATGAGATGAAACTTTCCACACTGGCCGTGAGTACAAGCTTATTTTAACTGTGTAATGATGTATGCATTAAACAATGGACATTAACAGTGTATTTTCTTCTAGTCGAAAGAGAGCAGGTTACAAGATCTCCTGGAAGCAAAGGCCCTGGCTCTTGCACAGGCTGACAGACTGATCGCTCAGTATCGCTGTCAAAGAACTCAAGCAGAGACCGAGGTCTGTACACTATAGAAATAAAGCATGTCTGATGCTTTCACAGTGAAATAAAAAGCATGTACAGTACTGGTTACAAGTATGTGACTAACACATGTTGAAACTGAGGTGAAATGCCTTGAGCATTTCATGCAAGTAGTTCCTTTTACTTTTAGCTACATTATCATCTCAATTTTCTTTCCTACCTGATTGATGAGTGTCAAAGATCCTCAGAATTATTATATTCTGAGCCCTTTCTTCCTTATTTTTCTGTTGTATAGTTTCAACCATTACTAAAAGTCAATGTTCCCAAGTTAATGGCAAGCAGAGATCTCCCCCCCCCCACCCCCTGCCCCCAGCACTAAATAAACTATGTTGCCAAATTTACTCATTTGGGAAATGCTTGAAATGCTGTATAATCAGTGGTAAAGTACTTACCTTTGGCTTTAAAATACACTTACAGTGTAGTGGTCTGTGTACTGCTTGAGTTTACTGACTTAGAAACCTGGAAATCACCATTTCCCTCTGGTATTATTCACCAGGTTTGGCTGATTAGACTTAACTTTGATATAGTTTTCCTACCTTAAGTCTGTTACTCAGACACACTGCACATTAGTGGTATCTGTGTTTTGTCCCTGTTGCTTTATGGCAGTTCCCAAGGGTATTTCAAGGAGTGCCTCATCCTATCTCCAGTGTTTCAGGGTAGTTGTCATTGTTCTCAGATGTCACTGAAATTCCTTAATTTGACAAAAAATAAAAAAATCTCACTTCACTCCACATCTTCCATATTTTGCCAGTAACTGCAGATAACTGCTTATACTGATTTGCATTTTGGTAGAACTTAACCGTAGTCTTATATTTTCTTCTTAACTTTGAATTTCCTTAACCCTATTTAGAGCCCCTTTTTTCTTGCTTAATACCTCATCATCTTCAGTTTTCATTTAAGTGCCCGCATCCACAGCCTTCTGTGGTTGTTTTCTTACTCATGTTTGGCTCTCCTTCTGTGCCTCCACCTTGTGCTTGCCTATGAAAATCATATTACCTCCCACCCTTACTTGTGATAGTAAAGACTATTTCTGAATCTCCAAATCCCAATTCTTGGCATATGGTAAGTTCTTTATAAGTTTGATGATTAATGTATTTATGATAATTGCCTTATGGGTTAAAACTTTGTTTAATAATATGAAATTCCTAGCAGATTCACATGGAATGTATTCATTACTTCAATGAATAAATTATAAAATTGTAGGAGTTTGAAAGAGGGATTAAAATCTCTGATAAGTAAAATACTTAAAATATTTTCAGGATAAAGATATCCTAAAAATTAAAAGAAATCTAACTGAAAAGAAGGAGGGAGAAATAAGTGTGTATTCTATCCGTGGATCATGTCTTGTCTGGGTTGCTTTTCCTGTTGCTGAATTAAAATACCTTGACTAAAGCAACTGAAGGAAGAAAGGATTTATTCAAGTGTTCAAGGTGTTAGGAGTGAAGTGACAGGTTACATTGCACGCACAGTCAGGGAGTAGAGTGACAAGCATTCTAATGCTTTGCTCAGTTTCTCCATTTCATGCATTCCTGTAGCCCTTGCAGGAAAAAGGGTCCCTTCCAAAATTGAGATGGGCCTTTCTACATCAATTAACCTAATCAGATAATCCACAGAGACCCATTTCCCAGGTCACTTCAGATTCTATTAAGGTGACAACACTAACCAGCACTTGTATTAAAACAATATAAAAGCATAATTTTCTGCAAAAATAAACCCTCCCTTTTTAGTATTCAAGTGTTTATTTTTAAAAATATAAAAAAAGTTTTAAAAAGAAGTACAAATGTTTAATGTCCTTTTTCCCCCTATATTTTACCATGCTTTTGTTTTGACTGATACATTGACCTTCTAAATTCCAAGAAAGGAAATTAGTAATATTGAAAGAGTTTATTCCTCTCACTTCTCATAGTACCCTTTTACATTGTGTGTCTTTTGGGGCATTTTTAAGACAAAGTGGTAGATAGTATCCATTCCTTAATTACTGCTTATTTAGACTGTGCTCCCTAGTTAATTAATTAATGCCAGCTTAATTTTAAATGTTAGATCAGTATCAATGATGTTAATATCTTATTCTTGATTCTTACCTGAAATGAAGAAACTGATGTATATAAACATAGCAGTTTAGTGTTGATGGCTACCCCTAAAGACTGTGTCCTTTCATCTGAATACTATATGGAAAGTTAATTTTTGTCTTTCAGCTGTATTAATATCTATTATTCTGATCATGCTGAAATTGCTTTTCTCGGAAAAATCTACTAAATTAAAAATTATAATGGTATAGTTTCAGTATTCAAATTTTTGAAAGCCAAAATGCTTCAGAATCTGTAATGTTAGATTGCGGTGGAGCAGTAGGTAAAAGACCTTTGTCACTAATCCTGATAAATTGAGTTCAGTCCCCAGAACACAAATGGTGGAAAGAGAAAACTGACTTCCACAAGTTAGTCTCTGACCTCCACAAATGCACAGTGATATACATGCACTCAGACACACACACACACACACACACACACACACACACACACACACACACACACAAATAAATAAATAAATAAATAAATAAATAAATAAATAAATAAATAAGCATAATGCAATTTTTAAAAGTAACTTTTGGATGAATGCTGTCATGGGTGAAAAATTCTCCACTATGAAACTTTTATGCACAAATTTTTAAAGCAGTACATAAGATTTAAAACAGTACATAAGTACCTTCACATTATGTATATGAGGGATATGTAATATAAATAAATTTTGTGTTTAGATGTGGATTTCATGTATATGTTGTGTATGTGGAATATTCCAAAACTCTGAAGAATCTGAAATAATTCTGATTTTCAACCTGAATCAGATTTGGAAGTAGTTAAGAATATACATGTAACTAATACAGTTTTCTATAGTCCAGCAGATGCTAAATTAGATATTTGGTAGCTCTTTTAAATTGTGTAATTTATCAACAATAATGTGTGCTCATATCACATGTGTGTATTATTTAATACATTCTTTGAAGTTTATTAGACAGTTTTGTTGGTCCAATATCATATAGTGTACTTAAGCTAAGATAACTGGGCACAATAATCCAGTGGAACCACCAGCTGGATATGTGATACATTTTTATCCAAGCATTCTGGCATGATGTTTGTATATGTGATAGTGAAAAAGTACGTGTTTCATTTTCTTTTGAGGCACGAACACTTGCGGGTATGTTAAGAGAAGTTGAGAGAAAAAACGAAGAGCTTAGTGTGTTGCTGAAATCACAACAGCTGGAATCTGAAAGAGCCCAGAGTGATATTGAGCATCTCTTTCAACATAGTAGGAAGTTAGAGTCTGTGGCTGAAGAACATGAAATATTGACAAAGTCCTACATGGAACTTGTTCAAAGGTAAATTAAGTAAAAGTCTCTGTGTAAAGTTAGAACCTAAGTGAACATGCCACATTTCCTCAACCCTAAATTAATTTTTAAAAGTATTTCTTAAATTGTCATGACACCGCAAAATATGTAATTCTTAAGAGATTTAAGAGTGCCTAAACCTGAGCTGAATAAGAACAACAATAGACATGTCAAAGTGCATAGGGAAAAGACCTAAGGCCTCAACCCTACACAAAGAACTGCAGGCAACTAAGGAATACTGGTAGCAAGAGAAATAGTCTAGTCTAGAGAAGGGCAGACCAGTTGTTTTTCTGATACCAAATGGTTAGCCCTGCAAATATATAACTAATATTACACAGAGCAACAGTCTCTATGTATTTTTAGAGTCACAGGTTATCTGGGAAGTAAGCTGCTCACAGACAAGTTTGTCGTTTTGATCACTGACTGATCACTATGGCCTGGAACAAGTAGTGCTTGATAGTGAAGCGCTGCTGCTCTAACAGTTATTGAATGAGGGGCCAGCAAGATGGCTCAGTGTATAATGGCACTTGCCACCAAGCCTGGCGACCCAAGTGTGACCCCCAGAATACATATGATGGAAGGAGAGAGCCGATGTACTCAGACATTCACACACTCACATCATAGTACACATGTACCCCCTCCTGCACACACACATAATCCAAATGTAGTTGTAAAGGAATTATTGAATGAACTTAATTGTCATAATTATTATTGATATTAGAACAGACTGGTCATTTCAGCAAGTCAAAATTAGTTAAATATTGGGAATTTCATGTCATTTTACCTAATACCACAGAAATTTGAGTTACTACTTAAGTTGCCTTTTATTATCATTGAGTATAGTTTACTGTGCTATGCAGTGAGCTCTTTAGGTAAATTGTGTAGTGAAAGAGCATAAGCATTTATAATTTTTTTTTTTTTTTTTTTTTTTTTTTTTTGGTTTTTCGAGACAGGGTTTCTCTGTGTAGCTTTGCGCCTTTCCTGGAACTCGCTTTGGAGACCAGGCTGGCCTCGAACTCACAGAGATCCACCTGGCTCTGCCTCCCGAGTGCTGGGATTAAAGGCATGCGCCACCACCGCCCGGCGAGCATTTATAATTTTAACAGGCATTTCCAGGTCCCCATGCTGCTTTCCTCTGACACTGAGACACTTCCTTGTCTTTTTAGAAATGAGACTACTGAAAAGAAGAATACCGACTTACAGACTACTTGTGAGTCCCTGAATAAACAGATTGAGACAGTGAAAAAGTTGAATGAAACACTCAAGCAACAAAATGAAAAGTAAAATCCTCTAATTCTATATTCTAATTATTTGTCATTTTGGAAAGACAATGATTCTCTTTCTACATAGAATATTGTTTTTTATTGATAGCTAGTAGGTAGACCTTTCTTCTTTTAGATTACAATATAAATTTGTCAGATTTATAAGTAATTAAAACTTTTACTTAATACTTTTGGGGGGTAAAGTAGTACACATAATTTTATTCAATAATTTTTCTTTTATAATTTTAGAACTATTGCTCAGTTGATGGAGAAAGAAGAACAGAGAAAAGAAGTCCAGAGCCAGTTAGTAGACAGAGAATGTAAATTATCACGTAAGTGGCTTTGTTTGAGACACTATCTGTTTTCAGCATGTTTTGCTTTGGAAGAAAATGAGAGCATTGGTTTTAGTTTATTGCTACTATTTACTTTCCTTATTTATTTTAAGGATATTGTTTTCATTATTCTCAACTTTATGTGTATAAGGATAGCTGGAATATATTCACATGAGTACAAGTGGTCATGGAAGAGGTTTTGGATAACTGATTTTCTGCAAAAGCTGCCTGCTCAAAACTACTGAGCCATCTCTTAAGCCCCAACTTCATTTTTTAAATGACTTCCTAAACAACTTCCCTTTTCTTTGAACTTTCATTAAAGCATTTCATTCATTTGATCAAGTAGAAAATGTAGTGGGTATTTTTCTTCAACTCTATGAATTACAAGAAATAATAGCCCTTTTTAAAATAAAATTTTTATCATAACAGTAGGTGGCAGCACTGGATAACTTAGAGTTACAAGTCTGTAAATGCTGTCATCTGTAAAATGACCATTGTTGTTCTGAGTCACCTTCCTTACTACACAGAGACCAAGCCCTCTTTATTTGCCATGTTTTGTGATCTCTGTTTTCCAGTAACCCTTAAGCTCTGCATGTCCAGTCCCATCCCCATCCTGTCCTCATTCCACACCCGCCCCCTTCTTGCCATGCTTGTTTAGAACAGAGGAAGTGGGGAAAGACATAAAGACTTGCTCTTTTATATACAATACTGGTAAAAAGGAATTTGGGGGTGTTTTGCTTTATTTATTCTTTACATTTATTTTGTGGAGGATAGGGGTTGCCTATGTGGTAGGTTCCAGAGGTTAATTCAGGTGATGGTAAGCACTTTTATCTTCTGAGCCATCTCTCCCCTTGAAGTATTTTTTTTTAAGTCAGTAACATTTCCAACAAGCTATTTGATTGTCTTCCTCATCTTTTTCTTTTCCTTTTATAGTAGCTACTTAAGTGCATGACTTTTTGTGTGTTTGTTTTTAGATTTGCATAAAAAAGCAAAGTCCCAAGAAGAAAAGATTAATGTTTTACAAAAAGAAAAGGAAGATAAGCAGGAAACCATTGATATCCTTAGGAAAGAATTAAGCAGAACAGAACAGATAAGAAAAGAGTTGAGTATTAAGGTAAGAAAGACTCTTCAGTTTTCATTGCAGGAAAATGAAAAAAAAATTTTTTTTTTTTTAATGGAATGAACATGTGTAGATGTCTTAGTTAGGGTTTCTATTGCTGTGAATACACTCCATGACCAAGGCAACTCTTATAAAGGAAAGCATTTAATTGGGGCTGGCTTACAGTTCAGAGGTTCAGTTCATTATCATCATGGCAGGACACAGGCAGACATGGTGCTGGAGAGACAGAGAGTGAGACACTGGGCCTGGTTTGAGCTTTTGAGACCTCAAGCCCCCGCTCTCCAGTGACACACACTTCCTCCAACAGAGCCAAACCTACTCCAACAAGGCCACGCCTCCTAGTAGTACTTCTTCCTGTGAGTCTATGCGGGCCATTTTCATTCAAGCCACCACAGTAGGTTAATGTTCTGGTTCTTTAGTAATTTAAAGTCATTAAAGATTTCTTAAGTGCATATTTATAGCTTTTAAGTGTGTAGAGAACATAGAAAGGGTTCATAGGTCTTCATGCAGGTAGCTTTATATAGGTTGATAGCTCTGTTTTTACTTACACAAGTGGTAAGGAATGTATATTTGTTAAGAGCCTTATAATTTGCAGAGAACTCCTAAAAATATTTTGTTGATTATCTTCTCTGACAAATATAAATATCAAATATTAACACTTGTAACTTACTGATGAGGAAATGGAGTCTGAAGTTATATATAATTCAGGTAATAGGCATATATTGTGAATTTTAATCTATTCTTTATATATGATTGTGAGTTAGCTATGAATTGTGCTTTCTAGCCCATTTACTGCCAGGAAGATAAGAATAGCCCAACTTCAAGACTAACTATTCCAGAACAACTATAGCATAAGGGGCATTAAACATGATGGAATATTTATAGCTTGGGGGGGTATCTGCATTAATCTGGTTATTTTTTAAGTACTATTTAGTATGTACTTTTTTTGCAAAAAAATATTGTAGCTGCTGTTCTGGCTTTGTGTGTGTGTGTGTGTGTGTGTGTGTGTGTGTGTGTGTGTGTGTGTGCCTGTGTCTGTGTCTGTGTCTGTGTATGACTCAGGTCTCGCTTTGTAGCCCAGGCTGGCCTCAAACTTACTATATAAACAATCTTGCCTTTAACATACAGAAATCCACCTGCCTCTAGAGTACTGGCTATCATCATTGGCTTTAAAAGATAATTTAAAAGTTCCAGTTTCTATTAATTTATCTTAAATTTCACTATGTAATTTAATTAAAATATAATATATGTAATTTGTCCTAAAGTGATTCTTACAAGTAAAGAATAAAAGACATTTAAAATATCTCAGGTGAAAAAAACATTCTGTCCTGTTTATTCTCTATTTCTTCTTCCTTCCTTCCTTCTTAGGCTTCCTCCCTAGAAGTGCAGAAGGCTCAGTTAGAAGGTCGTTTGGAAGAGAAGGAGTCTTTGGTGAAACTTCAGCAGGACGAGTTGAACAAACATTCTCACATGATAGCAATGATCCACAGTTTAAGTGGTGGAAAACTAAGCCCAGAAACTGTGAATCTCAGTATATAAACATTGTGGCTTTGGGGAATTTGCAAATGAGTACTTTTGATGTATTTATATATTGGAGGTGGCAGTAAATGGAGGAAATTGTGACTCCAAAACAGTTATCATTTGCTTACTATCTATTAACTTAGTAAAATTCCTAATTTGATACATGTTTTATTTGGCCTTTGAAATATTAATTTTTAGATTCTATGATTTGGTTTCTCTAATGTTTGCTCTTACATGTCTTGTGTATTCTCATTTATGATTATATTCATGGATTATTTTATATCAACCATGAGTCCATTTTCATAAATGTGTAAACATGTTTGAGTGGACACATAGACTATGAGTGCTACAATGTCATCTTTTGGGACTGTCATAATAAATATGGTCTGTCATTGACTAAAATGTCATCATCACAAAGTGATATATTTGTTGAACTTTCTTGATAGAACAGTTTTGAAGATGAATCAGTTAAGATCAATTGGTAAAAAAAGAAACTGATACTAAGTTAATTTCTCTCTAAAGTTAACACAAAATAGTAGATTGAAAGGAGTTTCTATTACAGCATTTAAAATAAAATAATGTAAAGCCTAAACTCTGAATTTGAAAACAATGCAGTAGTTACCAGAAATAATGTTTAAAAATTGGGAAGTGCCCATTGTATTAAATGATTACATAGTCGCTTAAAATTAATGATTTGTAGAATTATTTGCAGCTTTCTTCAGTTCTTTTGTTTGGCTTTTTTTATTTTACTTTATTTTTTTGTTCCTTGAGACATCTCATATAGTAACCTAAGGTGTATTTAACTCACTCTTCTGTTTTATTTTTGCTGTTGTTTTTAGTTTTGTTGTTTGCTTTTTGAGACACAGTTTCTCTCTAATCCAGGCTGATCTTGAACTCACTATAGAGCCCATGCTGGTCTTAATTCATGGTGATCTCCTGCGTTGGCCTCCAACAGACTGGAATTACAAGTGTGATCCACTATATCCAGCTGTGTTTTCTTTTTAAAACATTAGGTATATTGATGAACCCATTCTCGCTTTCAAGGGTAATTGGATTTCTGTTCTAGCTACTGTCAGAAATGTTATTTCCTGTAGTATACACATTTAATACATAAATAGCTTTTCATTGAGCCATTGACCTTTTTTTTTTTTTTTTTTTTTTTTTTTTTCTGGAGCTGAGGACCAAACCCAGGGCCTTGCGCTTGCTAGGCAAGTACTCTACCACTGAGCTAAATCCCCAGCCCGAGCCATTGACTTTTAAAGCAAAAGTTAAATATCCTTATTTAGGTATTTCAGTCACACAAGGGATTTTTTTTAGCACTTTTCACTTGAATAAAATGTTGAGTGTGATGTGCTTAAGAAAACATTTTAGATCAGTACTGTAGTTTCAGTTACAATGGCAAACTTTTATCTGAAAAAATAGAAATAGTGATATATAAGTTTTAAAATGCACACGATTCTGAGTTGATGAAATCTTGTATTTTCCTGCTCTATTTTGGATCAAGAATAATCTCTTTATCCATCATGTCTCTACTGCATAGTCTACCTGCAATTTGGCTACTTACTAGTTAACTCAGTTATCAAATCATGTTTTCAAGTATTATAATGCTGTATTCAACTAACCCTTGTTTTGTAGTACTTAATAATGGCTCCAAAACATGCAAAAGCAGTCAGTTTGGATGTAACTACTATCTATCATAATTAAAGGAAGTAGGATAGGTATAATTATATTTTGAGATCAATACTATAATTAAATAACTAATTACAGCACCTTTTTATAATTACCATTTTTAATTATTGTCGATTGTTATTTCCTTGAAGTACCTAATTTATAAATTAAGCTTTGTAGCTAGGTATATTAGTGTATGCCTTCAACTCTCTTACTTTTAAAACAGAGACAGGTGGATCCTGAGTTCAAGGTCATTTGAGCTGCACAGTGAAGTCTTAGTTTACATACGGATGAAACCATAGGGTTTGGTAGAACAGGAATTAGTTAAATTTTATAATATGTATCATAGGAAGAATCATAGTACATATAGAATTCAGTACTATCTCTGGTTCAGGGCATCTATGAGAGTTTTAGAGTATTTCTTCAGGTGAATGGGGACTGCTGTACTCCACTACATTCCTAGTAGCCTTTCACAAAGTGCAGTCATTTCCGTCTTTCCTCTCTGAAGGAAAAGCATCTTTCATCACTTTCTTTTGTTTCTTGTAGCACATGTCTTATCATTCCTATTGTTCTTTTCAACACTTAGTATATTGGGTACTTTTCTGCTTGTGATTTTGTTTCTGATTCTATGTACCTCAGATTTTAAAAGCCAAAGTTTATATTTAAGTATTTTTTTTCTTTTCTAAAAAGGTTTTAGTTAGGTTCACACTATTTTATCATAGTAGAGGATTTAGAGATGATTGGTATATGTATACCATGTCTCAAGAAAAAAACAAACTTTAGAAATTTATCAGTAGTATTATTACTCAGATCTGCTTAAATTTCTTGGGGGATAGGTTTTCTAAAATACATGCTATCATATTTCCTTTTACTATTTGTACTTACAACTTGCATAAATAATGTTCTTTTGATTGATTAAAGTTTATTCTAAGCTGTTCATTAATTTAATATGAGGATACAAAGATAGAAAGGTAATGTATCTTAGGAAATCAGATTTACGTTTTCTCTTCACATGATTTTGCCTATATATTGTAGAGTCAAGTTTAATGTTTTTGTGAGATACCTGAGTGTGCAAACAAGGGTCTCTGCATCTGCATCAGTTTAATTGTTCCTTTTCTTGGGCTCTTTTTCCTTCTGTTTGTTTTACCCTATTCTGATATGTTAGGTTTTGTTCTATCTTATTTTGTATTTTTAGAAGCTTATTTGTTCTCTAATGAGAGACAGGCATGGAGAGGATCTAGATGAAAAGGGGAGGTAGGGAGATTGGGAGGGATAAATATAGTCAGGATATGGTATATGAGAAAATTATCTATTTTCAATAAAAGGAAAAAAATTTGATGTTGAAGATAGTTTGTTTTTAAAAATCATGGTATTTTTGGTATATTATTTTCCTTCCATATTCTCTAGTTTAAGTGTTGTTAAATCATGAGGTATATCACTTTCTTTTGCTTTCTCAATGATTACCAGTAAATATTAAATGTGTATTTCCCTCAATTATAGATTAGTAATCATACATTTTCAGCTTTCACTGAGTTCAAATATAATTCAAGTATTCAAAATAATTACTTTTTTAAATGTGGACAATGTAACTGAATATTTTAGTTATGTAATTTCCCAATGACCCAGTCTTTACAGGGTCTGGCTATTTCAAAAGAAGATGGATAATCCTAGAATACATAACAAAGGCCTTCTAATGTAAATCTGATAAGAAAGTGACATTTTCAAAGTTAATAGAGAAGATTGGATCAGTTTCATTGTTATTAAAAACTAATTTTCCAGAAGCAGCAGCGGATTTGACAATGTGTTACTAGTCAATATGAGTTTACTCTATTATACTTTCTAGACTGACATTTTAAGAGTTATATTTCATCTTAATCTCAACAATACAAAATGATCTAATATATTAGTCTATCTAGCCTTATCCTTTTCTTCATTTTCAAATATGACAGCTGATGAATAAGCCCTAGGAAAAAACAATAATGGTCATGTTCAATTAAGCAAGGTTTTAATATACCCCCAAGTCTAGGTAATAATCTGTATAATGCATAGAAATGATTCAAAGAGAATAGTGAATCCAAGCTCTTTGTGTTAAATATTGTTAAAGCTCATTTTGTATTTAAAGAAATGTACCCCATGACTTAAATACAAAGTAATACATGGTCAAAATACGTGATCAAAATGTTATGCATAGTTTTTGCTTATAGGGCTTTATTTAGCTATATCTGTATATTTATATTTATTTAGTTTATTTTTTTACTTATAGGGATTCATTATTTAGACACTAAAATTTAGCCACAGCAGTATTCATATACCAACACTGTTATGGCAAAAATTTTAAATAATGCCTTAGTTAGGGTTTCTATTGCTGTGAAGAGACACCATGACCACAGCAACTCTTATAAAGGAAAACAACATTTAATGGGGTGGCTTACAGATTCATAGGTTCAGTTCATTATCATGATAGTAGGACATGGTGGCATGCAGATAGAAATGGTGCTGGAAAAAGGAACATATTGATATGCAGGCAACAGGAAGTGGTCTGAGACACTGGGTGTGGCTTGAGCATATATTAGTCTTCAAAGCCTGCCTCTACAGGGACACAGTTCCTCCAGGAAGATCACACCTACTCCAACAAGGACACACCTCCTATTGGTGCCACTCCCTTTGGGGGCCATTTTCTTTCAACCACCACATTCCATTTGCTGGCCCCCAAAGGCTTGTAGTCATATCATAATGAAAAAATGTATTCAGTCCAACTTCAAAGGTCCCTATAATCTATAACAGTCTCAAACTTGTTTCAAAGTCTAAAAAGTCTTCATTGATATTCATGCAATCTCTTAACTGTAATCTCCTGTAAAATCAAAATGAAAAAAACAGATCATATACTTCCAACATATAATGGCATAGGATATACAGTACCATTCCAAAATGTAGGGAAGGGAGCATAGTAAGGAAATACTGGACCAAAGCAAGACCAAAAACCAGCCAAACTCTGAACTCTGCATCTTCATGTCTGATGTCAAAATGTTCTTCAGATCTCAAACTTGTTTCAGATTTATTGACTGCAACACACTCTCCCTTGGGCTAGTTTCATTCCCTCTTAGCAGGTGTCCCACAACTCTGGCATCTTCAACATCTTGGGTTCTCCAAGGCAATCCAGGCTTCGCCTTCCCAGCTTCACACAATGGCCTCTCTGGGCCTCCATTCAGAAACACCTCTGACACATGCCTGACCTCAGCAGCTTTCCTTATCATGGAGGGAGATTTCATAACCCCTTTCTTCTATCCTTGACTCTAAAGCCAGAATTATGTGACTGAAGCTGCCAAATTCTGCTGCTTGCTGGTACTAGAACATCGCCGCCGCCCCCCCCCCCCCCCATTCAATTAGGTCTTCACCAGTTTTCTGTTTTCAGTGGTTTCCTTCAGTGCCTAAGCTTGACTGTTCTAAAACTGGATCTGTAAACTAGGCTAGTCTTGGACTCGGAAATCTTTTAACTACATAGTCACAAGTTTTCTGTTTTCAGTGGCTACCTTCACTGTCTAAGCTTGGATGTTCTGGAACTTGCCCTGTAGACCAGGCTGGCCTCAAACTCAGAGATCCACCAGCCTCTGCCTCTGTAGTGCTGGGATTAAAGGAGTGCACCATCACTCATGGTTCAAAGACGTTCTTTAATTCCTTCTCACAAGTTGGAAACTTAGCTGGGTAGGATCTTGCCCTGAGGTTACCACTCCCTTTATTCCATTTCTCAATCTGTTTATTATTATGCCCAGATCATGGGGACCCTCAAAAGACCATCACAGAAACCAAATCCCATATGTAAAAGCAAAGCCTTTATTCAAGCAGCTCAAGCTTGGACCCTCCTGTGTCCAACACAGCAGGTATGATTGGAGAGTGCTGAGACTGGGCAGGGTGGGTTTTTTTTTTTTATCATAATAGAGGTTAGAGGTGAGGGGATTTCCAGGGTCCACGACCCTGATTGTCTAGGGGTATCTTGGTAAAGGGGAAATGAGTGTGTTCTTGGGCTAAAGGACACTTGGTGATACCTTACAATGTTTGGAACAGAACATTTGGTATGTCAGTTATTTCCCCTTAGAGGCTGCCTCTCCCTGGGTGGGATCAGCTTATGGCTTTTCCTGAGGACCGGGTGGTACCCCAGGCTTACTTGCCAGTAAGCCTGCCATGTCAACCTGTTTTGGGGACCACCGCATTTATCTCCTGGTGCTCCTTTTCTCCTCAAGTTTTACATTTTGTATTTTTCCTTTCTCAGCTTGCTCCTCATTATAAATCTTCATTAGAATTACCTCTAATAACAACATGACAGAGTCTATATTAGACTGTTTTGAGATCTCTTCTGCCAATGGAGTTAATCCAAAACTCTTCATTTTAGCCTCAGGCAGACTCTTCAGACAAGGGCAAAAAGCAACCACTTTCTGAGAAGCTTCTACACAGCAAAGGACACCATAATTTGGACAAATTGACAGCCTATACAATGGGAAAAGATTTCTTTTACCAACTCCATCTGATTGAGGACAAATGTCCAAAATATATACAGAATTTAAGAAAAATAATCTAAATTAAAATAATCCAATTAAAAAATCCCCTTAACATAATTCTCAATAGAGCAAATACAAATGGCTTAGAAACAAAGAAATGTTCAACATTCTAAGCCATCGGGGAAATGTGGTGTGGATCACATGGCAACCAGTGTTGGTTAAGAAAGATCTAGCATTTCGACATAGATTGTTACGTGCTGTGGGATGGTCTATATGTCAAATGCTCTGATTGGTCAATAAATAAAACACTGATTGGCCAGTGGCCAGGCAGGAAGTATAGGTGGGACTAACAGAGAGGAGAATTGAGAGAACAGGAAGGTGAGAGAGAGACACTGCCAGCCGCTGCCGTGACAAGCAGCATGTGAAGATGCCGGTAAGCCACGAGCCATGTGGCAAGGTGTAGATTTATAGAAATGGATTAATTTAAGATAATAAGAATAGTTAGCAAGAAGCCTGGCACGGCCATACAGTTTGTAAGCAATATAAGTCTTTGTGTTTACTTGGTTGGGTCTGAGCGGCTGTGGGACTGGCAGGTGTCAGAAATTTGTCCTGACCGTGGGCCAGGCAGGAAAACTCTAGCTACAGTTATGCCCAGATTGTGGGGACCCCAAAAGACCACCACAGAGACCAAATCCTGTATGTAAAAGCAAAGAGCCTTTATTCAAGCTTGAGCTTGGACTCTCTGTCTGTCCGATGCAGTGGTGAGAGCAGAGAGCACTGACCCCTGGCAGGGTAGGGTTTTTTATCATAGTAGAGGTTGGGGTGAGGGAATTTCCAGGGTTCAGGAATCTGATTGGTTGACATTTGTCTAGGGGTACCTTGGTGAAAGGAAAATAGGTGTGTGCTAGGCTCAGGGACATCTGGTGATCTTATTTAATCTTATCTAACAGTTGGAATGTTTGGGGTGTCAGGTTCCTCTGGGGTGCTGGCACATCCCTGGGTGGATCCCTAGGTGGTATCAGCTTGTGACTTTTCCTGGATCCAGATGTTGCCTGCCAGTAAGCCTTTCATGGTAGCTGCGTCTGGGCCTCCAAGCCTGTCATGGCAGCTGTGTGGTCAAGCTGTTTTAGACCCCCCACATGGATCACAATTCTCCAACACCCTTTTACTTTGATTTTTAATGATTCTCACTATGTGTTATGCGAGTTCCCTTATGCCTTTCCCTTTGGCAAATTTTGTGTGGGCATTGAAGAATGAAAATATATACAATGGTAGCCTTTTTAAAACAAAATAATTCTTTGGAAAAAATCCCCAAAACCATGGAACCATATAGCATGATAACTCTGCCTACTCCCACACAAGCTAATACAAAGGTGCTAGAAAACTTAGATAAGTAATATATGCTTCAAAAAAAGGTATATTTGATAATCAAGATTTATAAATTCCTAAGGTCTACTTGAGTACACAGTAATATTTGTCTAGCCTCATCTTTGCTCACTTTAAACTTTAGATATTTGGATAAACTAAGCCATACAAAAACTTTAATATTCTCTAATGTAGTGTCTGATTCCTCAAGACAGTCCTTTTCCCAAAGTCAGGCATTTAGATCAAAGTTCCCATTTCCTCAGGGGCTTGAAGAAAGTTCCTGCTTGCTCCAAAGGGAGTCATCCTCCTTATCTCTGGCAAGAGGAACTAGTGGCCCTTCCATTAGCATATGACTGTGGGGTCTATTAACTTGTCAAGGTCAATGCTAGCTTCCCCAATCCCTGATCACAAGCCACACATAGCTCACATGTTCCCTTTCTCCCATTTAATTCTTTGTGCAATTACAGAGTATAAAAGGTATAGCTTT